GCTCTGCTGGATCAGACCTGTGGTCCATCTAGTCTAGCAGCCTCTTTGACACAGAAGCCAGCCACTCACCCTGGAGGGCCAGTGAACAGGACAGAGAGGTCAAGGCCTTCTCCCAGTGCTGCCTCCTACTAATGGTATTCAGAGGTTGATTACTTCTGGATGTGGAGGTTTCTTTTAGTCACCGTGGCTAGTAGACGTTGATGGACCTCTCCTCCATCAATCAGTTTGTCCCACCCTTAAAGCCGCCCATTCTTTCCTTCTTCACTGAAAGTGCAGGTGAGACTGCAAGTACAAATTCCGGCCTGCTATACTTATTCCTGTTTTTCTGCCCCAGTGTAAGTATGTTGGATGGAGCACTGCTGAGGGAGTCAGGTGTTCTGGTTCAGAATGACACGCTGAGGATGGCAGAAGGAAGTGGCCTTTCTCATCAGCACCGCTGAGCTGGACAAGCAGCCACACACAAAGTCCATTGTTCTTCTCTTCTGCTCTGGCTGGCATGTTCACGGGGGCCGGGGAAGTACATGGCAGAGTCTGTCCTGGAGCTCCGTGTTTTGGCAGTGAGATCCTCAGGGGTGGATTTGAGCAGCTGGGCAGGGAATGCACTGGAAGCTCCCTAAGGCATCCCTTGTCTGCAAGGGGTGGGCTTCACTGGAGAAGTACAGAAAGGGCTTTGCTGATAGCGCTGGATGTCAAGGCTGCCTAGAACTAAAGTTCCTATATGCAGCAGCCAATGTTCCCTCTAAGCTATGGAGTCTTGTGAGCAAAAATTCTACCTTGTGAGCTACTGGCATTAAAGTTGTGAGCGAGCGATTCGGCTACTGCATAAATTAGTTTGCGCTGGAGCCGTCCAGCCTGAGCGTAGACAAAAACATGTGAGCCAGAGGCTAAAAAACTGTGAGCTAGCTCACACTCAGCTTAGGGGGAACACTGGCAGCAGCAACTCTTTGTGGACTTGTCTTGGGTTTCTGGGGATTTCGGGGGCCTCTGTATGATAAAAGACAAAGTTTGTTCACATCCCAACCTATATTCCCTCTAAGCTGTGGAGTCTTGTGAGCAAAAATTCTACCTTGTGAGCTACTGGTATTAAAGTTGTGAGCGAGTGGCTTGGCTACTGCATAATTTAGTTTGCTCTGGAGCCGTCCGCCCCGAGCTGAATTACTGGATGGGGCAAGATATAAATCTCAATAATAAAAAATAAATAAATAAATATTTCTGAGCTCTCCTTTCCAATGCACCATTGTTAGCACCACTGCTCCCTTCTAAGCTGTGGAGTCTTGTGAGCAAAAAGTCTACTTTGTGAGCTACTGGCATTAAAGTTGTGAGCGAGGGATTTGGCTACTGCATAAATTAGTTTGCTCTGGAGCCCTCCTTCCTGAGCGAAGAGAAAAATGTGTGAGCCGGAGGCTAAAGAACTGTGAGCTAGCTCACACTAACTCGGCTTAGAGGGAACACTGATCCCAACCCAACTCTTCCTTAGGTGCAGACCCCTGGACTTCCTAAAATAAAAATCATATTTATCAAATTGCTTTTGAGTGTGAGCTGTAGGGCTGAACTCTTCCTTCTGATCTTGCGCAGTGTGAGATATTTGGTGATTAAATAGTGTTGGAATCAGTGTTCCCTCTAAGCTGAGTTGGTGTGAGGCAGCTCACAGTTTCTTAGCCTCTGGCTCACACATTTTCGTCTTAGCTCAGGAAGGACAGCTCCAGAGCAAACTAATTTATGCAGCGGCCAAACAGCTTGCTCAGAACTTTAATGCCAGTCGCTCACAAAGTAGAATTTTTGCCCACAAGGTCCCACAGCTTAGAGGGAACATTGTAAGATGGCCTGCACCCGTTTGAATAGCTAAGCTGGGGCTGGACTGTAAATCTTGGACCCCACTCTAAAGCACCCTCAGTCTGGCTGCAGCTGGAGCGCACACATGTTGCGGTGTTGAGTTGTAGTCTTGTCACAGTTGCCACATCGAGAAGTTAAGACCTGTCAGGGAGATGAAATGGAATTAAACTTGCTCCTCAGTTGAAGACAAATCTTGAAACAAAAGAAATGTATATTCCCCATGTTGTAGCTGAAGTATTTTTCAGTACTGATCTGATTTTAGAACTGCCTGCCACGAAGGTTCTTCCTGCATCCAGTCCTTTCCTCCTTCATTGTCAGCCAGCAATGCAGTTGTTGCCATGTTGTGTGGCTGGACCCCTGAAGTACTGCACAGCACCTTCCGGCAATCCTTTGTGCCAAAGTGTAACCAGCTAAGCTTGTCTGCACCTGGAGTAACATCTGGCACTTCAGTATTGCACTTGGATGAGGGATTTCTGGAAAGGTGAGCAGCTGAGCCAAGACGTTTTGTTCCAGAATGGCTTTGCAAACGTTGGACAGAGGACGTCGATAGCCTGTAGAGTTCGGCTGTCAGCCATTTAACTCCCCCTGGCAGTGGGGTCCCTGGCAGGGTCTCTCAGTCACTATCCTGTCTCCTGTGAGTGTTTGTGTGGCACAGTCCTTATGGGAAGCTTTTTCAGTCTGCAGGCGCTTTCACGCCTTTTTTGCTTTGTTTTGCTGCATGGATTTGTATGTAAACCACCTCCTAGAACGTTTCCTGTTCATGTCTCTCCTGTGGTCTTTTAACCTCATTCCCAGTGACCTGGGATGTATCCAGGCCCGTAGCTACATTGAAGCATTCTGCCCCCCCCCCCAATGTCCTACCAAGGAAAAAACGTTACTTTCCCCCCACCATAGAGAACAATGGAGGGGATGGGGGCAACCTGTTTGGGGGCCTGTAGAATTCGACCCCCTAGTCCAATGTTCTTGAAACTTGGTGGGTATCTTGGGGGGAGGCTCCAGCAGCGACCCTGTGAATTTGGAGCCTCCCTCAAACCACCTCCCCTCCAGCCCCCAGAATATACCCTATGTTTTCGCCATTGACTTCAATAGCCCATAGGATATACTGGGGCCGATTCAGATCAGAGAATCTGAATTGGCCCACAGCAGCCTGAAAGGGGCCCGAATGGGCCATTTTCGGGGGTTCATTCAGCTCAGACAAACCAAATGCACACCCCTAAGCCACGGCATGAAGCGGTGCAAGGCAGCCAGCGGGTCAGACCCTCTTGGGAATGAGCTGGCAGATCCAGAGAGCTGCTCATATCAGGCAAACTGTTGTGCAGTGAGGTGTGGAAAGGGCGCAGGCGATGGGATCCATGCAAGCCGTGTGCGTCTTGGAAGACTACGCAAGTGCTGTGGGATGAGCTTGCGAGAGTGTCCGAGTTCCTTCTTTCCTTGGTAACTTGCTGGGTGTGTTTTGAATGTCACAGGACTGCCATGCTGAAAACAAACCATAGCTACTGTCTCTTCCGTGCTGGAATGGCTGTGGCTGGTGTTTGGTACTTAGAGATTGCTGAGAGATGTTTGGAAATGAAGGATGCTAGACAGGTCCACATGCCATAGGAAAGGCACAGTGGAGAAAATGTATTTGGGGGCAGGGGAAAGTTGCCGTTTTGTTTACTGCTAGCGAGGTTCTTGGCTTTGTGAGTCACAGGAAGACGGGGTGTTTGTGTGTGCTCAGTCAGTATCGTGTGTCTGTATTTCGAAATGCAGAGAACATGTGCATTGCTCCCTGCCTGGTTTCTGACGTGTCACGTGTCACATGCTGAACGTCTTCTGTTTAAGACATGTAGCTGTCAGTTGGCTTCAGTTTCTGTTCCTTGATGTTCCAAAGGAGACTTGTTGGTCGAAAAAGAACTCTTTTGCAAAGGTCTGGGAGCTTTCTGAAATAGCTGGGCGTTTTGTGGGACTGTTTTGGGAGAAGAGATGAGCCACCTTGTGTTGGCTGCGGGGTTCTGTTTCTGAGAGCTGGATTTGTCTCTGCCTGCCTTCTAAATCATCCTGGAGGCCATGTGTGTGAGGTGAGTTTGCCCATGGGAAGGATGTCTTTTTTTGTGTTCTGGCACGGGGAGGGTTAATGGCGCCTTGTTCCCTGACAGCCCCTGGCATCTGAAAAAGCGGGAGGTGTCCTGGTGGCTCTTCTGGGAGGACTGGGAGTTGTTTCAGCCTGTTCATAACCTGACCCCCTTGGCCCTCCTCCCTCTTGGCTGCTCTGCCCTGAGTCTTCGGCGCTTGCCCTCTGAGTAGGGACAGAGGTCTGGGTCCCAGCAGAATGGGGAAGGAACTTCGAGGGGTGGCCCCTAAGAGGCGATACTTGAGACAGAGGGGCATGTGGGGCGCAAGCTTCAGCATGCCCTCAGGATTGGAGGGGGTGTGCTCCACTGATCCGTGAGGGTGTGGAAGTGCTGGTGGGGACTCTCCGGGCCCCTGGGTGGGGACATTGGAGGGCTAGGAGCGTCCTTCACCCAGGAGCACACGAAAGACTTCCAGTAGTTTGCCATTAGGATATCTTCTTTCCCATTCTTTAGGCCTTGCGTTTTTGGTAGGTTTAAAAGGCGTCTGTCCTGGGTCATTCCTGTGCTTTCTTTCAGAGGTGGCTGTGGGGCAGTCAGTCGTTGCTGTCTTTCTAAGCAACGTAGCGCTCATCCTATTGCAAAAGGACTTCCAGTTAAGGAACTGCCTAGTGTGGGAATGGGAACGGCCTGCTCACTTTCGACAGAATTGTGTAGCGGAGGCCACAGAAGGATCTGTCTAGTGCTGACTCTGTGCTTTTCTGGGTGGTTGCAAACAGGTGGGCATTTCATATTGAAAATAAAATGCTGCCTTATTTCTGCTTGTTCTCAGCAGGGCCGTCTCATTTACTGTAGCAAAGAGCACTGATCATCTGCCTGAGGAGGCGGCGTATCTGGTTGCTATTACCTAGCCAGGAGAACCATTTCTGGTAGCCTGCCTTTCTTGTGGGCAGTGAAAGTGGTCGTGGCGGTGCTTCCTGCTGCCTGCGAGCACCATTTGGTGGCACTCGCCTGGCCCAGCACAGAGGCAGCATTCTTCCCAAAGAAAGGTCTCCCCTTGGTTGTGCCGAGTGCACTTGCCTTCAGCCTCTTGTTTGTCCTTGACTTGCCGCTTTGCAGAATCCCTCGAGGACCCGTGCAGCAGCCTCTGGAGGACCGGATCTTCGCTCCGACAGTCTCAGCTGTGTACAGCACTGTAAGTACCGCTTCTGTGAAGCAGAACGTTTTCCCGTCATGCTGTGATCCACGGGGTTCATTCTGTCTGAATGCTCCAAGCCTCATACATAGACTGCAGTGCTGAAGGTCCACCTAGCCGTCAAACGTATTGTGTTTATGGACCCCTTTTCAGTGCAAGGCTTCTCGAGCTGGCTTACCTTTTTAAAGAAACAATTAAAACAATCAAAGCTGGAGGGTGGGGGGCCTCAGCTGGCGCTGTGCCCAGGTGTGATGGAGGCCCCCCTGCCTCCGTGCCCTCTGATGTTCTTGCGGGTGGTGGGTGGAAGAAGGGGAAGGGGGCTCAGCTGTTGCTGGGGCCTTGCTGCTGAGTGGCTTCCTTTTGGCCTCAACAATGCCAGTGGGAAGCCTAATCAAACTCATTAACAAATTAGTAATTTTATTCAAACTGAAAGCGGGGAGATTTTAGAATGTCTCTCTCTGTGTACGTACATGCACACAATGTATAGAAAGAGATCTGGTACAGATCAAACCTTATTTTAAAAAAGCTGAAGTAGACTGGTGATGCTTGCTTAAAATGGCGCCTTTGGAGAGTGAGGCTGGATGAGTTTCTCCAGTTTTCAATGTGGCTGCAGTAAAAACCTGGCTGCATCTGCCTAAGTGATCTGTGGGAAAGTATCAGTCATCTTCCCATGTTGGCTGGGGAGCAGCCTCACAAATGCCCCCCCCCCCCCGCGCGCGCCTTTCTTGTGAGGGTGGTTACTTTTGCTGTGTTCTCCAGCAGACCAGTGGGGAGGGGTTGTGATGGCTTTCCAGCGCCGTGGCTTCCCTTTCTGTAGAAGTGGAGTGTTGGGGAGGGGCCTGAAATGATTGCTCACGTGTCACTTTGTTTCTGTGTGTTGGGAGGGGTTGCCTTCTGGCCTTCATCGTGGCTCAGTCGTGGATGCCTGGGATTTTCCCGGAGTGTGTCCGTTCCTTCGGAAGAGGTCTTCCCATAGCGAAGGGAATCCTCCGGGAAAGACATGGCAAAGGGTTGGCTGTGCCAGGAGGCCAGTCTCGTCTGCAGTGTGGCTGCTGCCTGAAGACTCGGGCTTCCAGCAGCAGTCCAGACTGCCTCCCACAAACATGTCTTTTGTGTGTTTTTAATGCTTTTTCAAGGGGATGTATTGGTTTAAATCAAAGCAGTTTTAGGACACTAAGAAAAAGGACTAGTTTAAATCATTGATGTGACTTGATCCATTCCCTGGACAAGCATGCATCCTAGCTGGTCGCTGTAACAGTTCTAGGCTATTGTTCTGCAGTTGAAATGTGGTGGAATCTTGAACCTTTGGCCACCCTGCAGCCTACCGGCATGCGTTCAAAACAAGGTGGCTGACCGAGAAGCTGAGGCTGCACTCCTTTCCCATTGGTTAGGAAATCAGGCCCAGTCTCTGTGTGAGATCAAGTTTCAGAGCCTTCCAGAAGCTCGGGCTGGCAGTTCCTGGGCAAAGCAGTGTTTTTCCATGAGCTGGAAAGATGGTCCTTGATGTTCGGTTGGTGGAGTCATCAACATTTGTAATCTGAGAACAGAGCACGCTGAAGAGCTCCAGTAGCTGGAGGGTGTACTACAGGAGGAGAAGGTCATGGGGATGGAGCTCCGTGGGTGACTCTGCTGAGATACAGGAAGGCATCTCTGGATCAGAGGTGCTGGGAGAGATGGTGGACCAGGGAAGGCAGCTTCAGGTCTCCCAGGGAGGGCAGACCCCAAGGAGCCAGTGAAGGCTGTTCTCCCTTCAGACGTGGAAGGCCAGCAGCAGTGCCGATCCAGAGGCAGACCTGGATGACGCCTTCTGGGGGACCTGAAGGCTGGCTTTTATTTGGTTCTGATAAACTTTTGCTTCGGAATTGTTTCTGGTGGATGAAAAGAGCAGCATGCAGCAGCGGGTCTTTAGCGAGGGAAACACCATCCAGCTGAGAGAGTCGGCAAAACAAGAGATCGGCCTTCTCGAGACTCAGGCCACACAGCCCTCTCTTGAATGCGACCCGTCGTGCATTAAGCCAGTACAAAGAGAAGGCAGAACCGAAATGCAGGCAACTACAGACCTGGGAGGGCGTGCTTTCAAAGCAAGGCTGAGTCTGTATGCCGCCGGCTGTGCCTCAAAGTATTTTTAATTTGGGATTAAAGGTGGACATGAGTTAGGCACTTATTATTGAAGAGCATTCACTGTAGGCACCTCTTCCGTCAGGATCCAGCAAGGGGCCACCTTTGTTGGCAGATGTCTTGACTGGCATTGTTTGAAGTGGGACCACAGAAATTTAAGCCTAGATGTGGATGTGGTCATCAGGAAATGGGTTCAAGGGATGAGAGAGAATCAGTCCTTGCCCTTCCCTCCCGGAAGAAGAGGAGGGGAGTCAGCCTCTTCCCAAAGTGGTTTTCTTCTGCAGTGTGGCTGGAGGCCGGGTTGGGGGGCGGGGTTTTGGTTCCTGTTCCAGAAAGTGCTTTTTATGCTCTGCCCAGCATGTGGTTTCTGACCACGTGAAGTGAAGAAAAAAATAATCCGGGCAGTTGTAAGAGCTTTGGTGATGCAGTCTGAAGAGTGAGTCTCGTTCTAGTGAGCTGGAGCTCCAAGAGAGAGGCTTGTTGCAGCCCATGCTGGTCCTTGCTCCTGTGATGACAAGTGGGGCGGGGGGAGAGCTGTGGCCTCTTCTTTGCCCTCAGGGCTCCAAGCCGGGGCAGCTGAGGCTGACCCTGCTCGCTCGTGATGGAACACAGCTCCCTTTTGCCTTCTCCGCCTTGGCTGCTGGTTTCCGGCTAAGGGCTGCTGAAATAGATTGCATGTGGAAGCAGCCTTTGGAGGGGAGTCGCTGCCAGCCTCCGATGGAGCCCACTGGACCAAATGGTGCGATGCCTTTCTCCTGGTCTGTAGGAGTTTTGATGAGAGAACGAGGGGCCCGATGGCAGGAGAGGCAGCCGGCTTAGGCTGTGGCCCCGCAGGCATGGCCAGGATCCCACCCACAGGTTTGCAGACCTTCTTTCTCTGGCCCTGCTGGGGAAAGGCCTGTTTTTATTGGCACCTGTGGCATTTAGAAATACCTTGGCGGAGTTAGTCTGTCTTAAAAGGTTTTGTAGCAAACGTCTCCCATGATAAAAGGCTGCAGAGAGAGAGAGCCAGAGCAGGAGGGGTGACGTTCAAGGTCTTGCCTTTTCCCCTTTGCAGAACTGAGGCGGGTTCCAAGCTTGCAGTCTGGGCTTCACTCCTGTGGTGGGGGCTGGACAGGGTATCGAAAGCCCTCTTGAGTTACAGAAGTCCTGTTTTTTTATTTGCTGGACTTATATCTGCTTAATGGCACGTCTAGTTGACCAGCATCTGTGAAATTTGCAAATACTTTCATTACAAAAAAAAAATAGTATCATCTTGAGGGTTTGCTTGTAGTCTGTTAATGGGAAATCATCCAGTCTGCTTATAGTGGGTGTTTCAGAAACAAAAGCTTAATGGAGACCAGGTGGCTCACTGGCTTAGGTATGGGGGCTGCCTGTTCTCCCCCCCCCCCCGCTTCTGGGTCCAGTGCTAGACCAGCAGGCAGTGTCTCTGGCCAGCTCTGGCCGATTGGCCCGCAGCACCCCTTTGTGGAAGCTACAGGCTACTTTCTGTGTTTTGTTGCCTTTATAATTTGCTGCCTTTGGGACTGCCCTCCGAGTTGGTCCCGCACACAACCCTTGGACAGGAGCCAGCTGCAGGGGGTGGGGGGGCATGTGCTGCTGGTCTGTTTCAATTTGGGTTGGCTCCCAGGTGGTTTTTCCAGTCCCAATTTTAAGGTATTGGGTTTGCCCTGTGTGGAGTATAAAAAACTAACGATTTAAAAGGTTATGTTTTAACATTCTTAAATGGAACCTGAAATGTGTTAAATTCTAAAATCATACCACTGTCAAAGCCTGCTGTGCTATGTACGAGGAAGGGTCACAAAAGAAAATATTTTACTTCTGAGGTAAAAAGTTGCATCAGTGTGGAATAATAGCTGATGCATTTATTATAGCGGCAAATTATGAATGTTCATGACAGTCACAACCAGAAACACAGAGCTTTACTTGTATGTCACGGAGAAACACTGTAAGGACTTGCCTTGCTTCTGAAAGGGTTGGGCACTTTGTTCTGTGCCGGATTGGGTGATCTGTGGCTTTGGGTCCCTGGGCGTGTACAGAGAACCAAATAAAAGTCCACTATTTTCACCACTGATTTCCTCCCCATCCCATCAGCAGATACAGCTGTGTAAAGGCCTCTGGGCTGCAGGACCAATGGTTACCATTTGGACCCTGTGCTTAGGTAATCATTTAGTTACGTGTCTTTGTTTGGAGGATGCAAAGTTTCTAAAACGGGAATGTGGTTTGGCCTTCCTCCCCTGTGATTTAAATGGCCTTGATTTTAAACCAGCCCTCCTTGTATTTACCTGAATAGCTGGGATCCCCTGAGAAGTTCTCTGGCCCACCTGGAGAACTGATGGCCCAAGTCCTGCCATGGTCAGGAGTGAGAGGGGTCCTCTTTCCATCTGTGGCACCCGTATTCTGGGGCTTCGGGGACCCCCCCCAATTCACCGGGCCTGTTCCATGTGGGGAGAGTCTTTGGGCAGCTGGTGAAAAGATCTGGTGACTTCTGCAGCCTCCGTCCCATGCATGAGGTGGACTGAAAGAGTGGCAGGGCTCTGGGCTTTGTAGGTTAGGGAGCACGCAGGGTGCTCGAGATCTCCAGGTGCATAGATGCTATTTAACATTGATCTGCGCCTCCTTGCCCGGCTGGTCTGGGGGGTTGGGCTGGGTTGCCACCAGGACGCTGACGACACCCAGCTGTATCTGTTGCTGAATGGCCGTCCAGATACTGCCCCAGATGTTTTGGCCAGGGCTTTGGTGGCCATGGCTGGCTGGCTGGCTAAAACAGAGTTGACTGAAACCGAATCCATCAAAGATGGCGTTCCTGTGCCTGAGTCGTGGGGGGATGGAATTGAAATCCAGCTCCCAACGCTTTTGGATGCCTCCGCTTACAGTGGAGGCCCAGTCACGGTGGTTGCCAGATCAGCATTCTACCTTCTTTGGCAAGACAGGCAACTGGTTCCCTCTCTCCCCGTGACTTGGCCACAGTGATCCACGCAGTGGTCACCCCCAGGCTGGACTACTGTAACTCGCTCTACTCAGGGTTGCCCTTGAAACTGACCTGGAAGCTTCAGCTGGTTCAAAATGCAGTGGTGAATCATACAACCTGTGCTCCGTAAGCTGCATTGGTTTCCAGTTGAGTACCGGATCAAGTTCAAGGTTATGGTATTGACCTTTAAAGCCCTGTGCGTTCTGGGACCAACCTATCTGCAGGACCGTCCCTCCCAGTGTGCCCCCCGCAAAGCATGACACTTGGCAGATCAACATCTACTGGTGGCCCCCGACCCAAAGGACATCCACTCAGCCTTGGCCAGAGCCTTTTCGGCTCTGGCTCCGGCCTGTTGGAACAGTCTTCCAGGTGAGATCAGGGCCCTGCGGGACCTAGTACAGTTCCACAGGGTCTGTAAAACGGAGTTATTCCACCAGGGCTGCGGTTGAAGCGGCGGGTGCCTCCCCTGCTCCGCCTGGCATTAATTACTATGTGTTGCTATTGCGGTCTGCCCATCTGCCCAGGGCTTGGGTTGGCTGAGCATTCATACAGCTAGTTCTTTTGAATTCTTACTAACTGCCATCTGGATTGTAGGTTTTATATTTGTAATTATGTTTTAACGTTTTTAATTGTTGGAATTATTGTTGTTCATTGGTGTTGTGACGCGCCCTGAGCCCTGCTTTGCAGGGGGAGGGTGGGATAGAAATTCAGGTAAATAAATCAAGCCAGTGGGGTTGCCCTTACTGAGGGGAGGGCTGTCCCTCGTCCCGTTGAGCTCATGAGAGGTGAAGTCGCACCTGTTGTTGTATCCCAGGTCTGCGTTGCAAGATTCCAGCGATGTCCGCCCTTCCCTCCTCTTGAGTACGTGGCCAGCAGAACACAGGCCTTGTGCAGACTTGTTCTTTCTCCCTGAGTGTGTGGCCCAAGCACGTGGGTGCCCTTCCTTAGAGGCAGCATTACCGATTTTTGGGTTTTACTAACCGTTTATCTCCTCGCAGGTTACACAGGTTGCAAGACAGCCGGGGGGCCCTGCCCCCTCCCCGTACTCTGCGCATGAACTTAGCAAGGGGCATCCAGCCCTTGCTGCAACACCACCTGGACATGCATCCTCTCCCGGGCTCACCCAGGTAAGAGCTGTGCGGGTCACCCCTTCCATTTCTCTGTTGAGGGGAGGAAGGAGGCCAGGCTGGTGCAATGTGACCTCTGCCTGTGCGCTGCTTTGTTTTGTCCTGCTGCTGCCTCTCTTGAAAGGAGAAGGAAAGTGGGAGAGAGGTGACCGGGGAGGGGGTGGGGCCCCCTTTCTTGGATTGTGCAGGTGTGCCTTGAGCGTCCTCTGAAATTCTGGCTGGCAGCAGTGGTTTAAATGCCATGCCTGTAGTCAAACCACTTCCTTTTCCTGCATTTGCAAGATATTAAGTGTCTATTAAATGCCAAGAGAAGGATGAGAAAGCGCATGTTATTGAGAACCACATTGTTCTTAATAGCTTACGATCTGCAGTTACTCCGTACAGTATTTCGAGGAGGAAAGCAATGGACCTTGAAGGTGTCAGGGTGAAGAGGGTTAGGGTTATCGAAATGGTGAGGAGCCTCGCTAGCCAGGGGCCTGTTGCTGAAGACTTGGGGGCAGGAAACTTGCTCAGCACCGAGCCCTTTTCCTTGGGAATGGAGCACGGGGACTGTGGGCCGCCCCACTCGTTGTCTGGGCAACTTTTCATAAGGCAGATGGAGAGGTGTGTGGGTCCCTTCTTCGTGGAGAAGTGCCATTTCTGTAGTTTCTTGCTTGAGCTTAGAAGCAGCAGTTCTGGAATGGGTTGTCATGGGACTGGACATCACAGTGGAACGCATTTGGACCGCTTTGGTTTCCAGGGGAGCTGCAGGCGCGTGGGTGGAGGGAGGCCGGGTGCTGTTCTGTGCAGGCCAGAGAGAGCCCTGGCCATCTGTGGCCTCTGGCCTGCTTGGGACACAAAAGCCATGGAGAGGGGTTGTGTTGCACCTTTTCAATGGGCTTGGTTCGTGGTGGATGTTCCCCTAGTCCAGCTGAGATCTTGCTGCCAGGGATGTTAACGCAGGAGGACTGTGTGGTGCTTTGTGCGAGGGAAGGCACTTTCCCGGAAAAGCAGGCAGCTGCTGTGGAGAGCAGAGGAGCCGCTCTAGCTCCTCATCGCCCAGCTCCTGTGGCAGCCCACCAGAGAGGGAACAGCCCCCTCCCCTCCCCTCCCTCGGGGCCCCAGGAGGAAGGCATCCAAACGGAGCGGCCGGGCATTCCTTGTGAACACAGAGAGAGGCCTTCAGGGCGACGGTTCTAGGCTCTGGTACCCCGTTTGGAGCCTTTTCCCAAGGCGGCCTAGCCGGAGCCTGTGCCCGGCAGCCTGATACCATTCTGTGGTTGTCCTGAGAGGGCTTGTGGTCGATCCCGGCAATCTTGAACACTTTCCTGCAACAGGACGAGGGGAAGGGATGGCTGCTCATGGCCTGTGGCCTTTGCTGAGCAATCATGGGCGGGGGGGGAGGTTCCTCCGCCTAGTAGTTGGGTTTTCCCCGGGTAAAATGACACTTCGTTAGGGTTCTCAGTTACAGCTTGGTCGGTATTGCTTTCCTGCAGTGCAGTGCACGTTTGACAAAGGGCAGTGGAATCTATAAAGTCTGATCAAGTCATGCCTGTTCAATTTTGGGATGTTGTTCTGAGTGTAGGGTGTTACTCATAGGGAAGTTCCTTGGCCTCCCGTCTCTGGGCAAGCCCCCCCCCCCCCAAGTAGCCGGCTGCATCCAGTGTCCTGTTAAGAGGGTTGCCCGCACCTACCCGTTCAGTTGCCCCATCTGTTTCCCGTGGTGCTTCAGAGCTGGAATATCTGGACGCGGAGAAGAGGAGGACTGTCCAAGGAAAGAGCCTTTTGACTTGGTCAGGTGGGCGCTGAGAAGCAAATGGCTGCTGGCATTCAGGGCTGCAGACCTCTCCCATTGCAGATATGAGGTGAACCAAGTGCCGCAGCCCTTTCCTTTGGCGCTAGAGGGCTTCCAGGTGCCACTCCCAGGGCTGTGGAATGTAGCAGTAGGAGAAACCCCATCTGGTTTCCCCTTCGTTTGGAGCCCTGTAAGCAGGCCTGGCTCCAGTGGAGAGGGGAAAGTCCCTGGGCTGTTGGCGATGGGTTCCTTTCGCACTCTTGGCAGCTGGAAAAGGGAGCTAAGGGGCCCACGGGACTTGCAGCCTCGAGAGGGCCGAAGGGAATGCCATCCCCCCCCCCCGCATTAGCCCGGAGAGTGCCGTTGTGACCCAGACCCGTACCAACGCCTGTCCCCACCTTCCTCCTCCCCTCTCTGTCGCTCTTTCTTTTCTCTCTTACTCTGTCGCTCTCTTTCACTCTCGCTCCAGCAGCCAGGAGGGAGGAGGGACAGAAGCTTTCCACCCCACCCAAGAGCCAGCAGTCTTTTTGAAGATCCAAGGGAACTGGTGCAAAGGATTCTGGGATGTGGGATGGTGAGTCAAAAGAGGAAAAAGGTTAAGTGGTGCCCCACCGGAAAGCCCTGGCTCTCTTCTCCGAAGGGTGGAGGTCATGTATAGGGTGGGGTCACGACTTAGAGGAGAGCCCCCGCACCCCCCCCCCCACTGTAGAAGATTCAGTGCACTCTTGCTTGTGCCTGTGGAGCTTAAAACCAAGTACACTGGGAAGCCTGTGGTGTTCAGAGAGCAGGTGGGCACTTTGTCTTTTGGGGGGACTTCCGAATGGGAGGAGTCCCTTTGCGGCTCTTGCTCAGCCCTGAGACAGCACTCGGTCCGAAGGTGTTCCAAGCAGGTGCCGAGGTGTGAAGTGTGCCTATGGGTCTGGCCTGCTGAATGGTGGCTGCCAGAGGGGGGAGGCTTGCTCAGCACCTTTAAGGCCTGGCCTGCCTGTCTGCCTCTCCAGACCTCTCTCTGAACCCTGGGCATCCTATTTCCTCCATCCCCCAGGCTAGCGTAAGGGGATTTATGCATTCAGAGGTAAGGAAGTAAAATCTTCCAAGGAGATGGTTGGGGTGTGGCCAGAGATTTGGAGTTCTTGGATGTTGGAAGCTGCCTTGGTCCTGGGTTGCCGCTTGCTGTGGCCCAGGCTGGATTCCCCTCCCCCCCTTAGGAGTAAGTTTTGACTAAAAAGCTTAGTTCTTGAAGCAGGCGGGGGGGGGGGGGGCTCCGCTCTGTGTTTGAGGACAGCCAGAGGCCGCAGAGGGGGGAGCACGCTGGTCTTCCCGCATCTGCATAGCCTGAATGCAGAGACAGTGGGTGGCACGGGCAGCGGCTTTGGTTTTCTTCTTTCCTGCCTTTTGCAGCCCAGTTTCCCGGCTGGCCCGCCCACAGGGGAACTGAAAGCATGGTGTGCTCCCGCTTCCGAAGTGGGCAAGGAGAAGCAGAGATCAGGAGTGGGGAGGAGAGGGCAGGACTGAGAGGGGGGAAGTAGGAGCCTGGGGGGGGGGAAGAGAAGAGATGAAGGGAGCAGGAGAAGAAGCTGGCCTCCAAAGAGAGGAGGCGTGGGGGGTGGGGCAAAACCAGCGAGGCCTGTGGGGTGCTGGTGGGATCCAGAGAGGCCTCTGGGTCAGGAAGCAGGAAGGAAATGCGGGGGGGGGGCTGATCGCATTACCTGTGGTGAGGAGAGGAGAGGAGGGAGGATCAGCAAAGGGGTGGGTGGGCTCTTACTGTGAGGCACAGCAGACAAATGGGTCTAATAGTGTCTGAGGGACTTTTCCACCATGAGGTGGCCCCATAGAGTGAGCCGGAGTGTCGAGTGTTCCCCAGATGCCCCCCCCCCCAGAGCTGGTCTTCAGAAGGCCCCCATTTGCCCTTTCCCAAGGAGGGGGATAAGAATGTTTGCTTTTGATCTGCAGGGAATGTAACGGAAAATGAAATTCCTGTTTGAATGTTCCATTGGCCACGTGTCCAGGCCCAGGGCTTCAAGGCAGCCATGCTCTCCCAAGAGTGGCACTCCAGTTGAGTGGCACAGGGTTTGGGGTTTAGGGTTTTCCACAAGCCACTCCCTTGGGGAGAGTCCCCTTCCCACCCTGCAGGGCTGTCGGAAGTGGCTATGGTCCCTGGAGAGAATCTTCCATGTGGTAGCAAGCAACCAGGACTTCTTTTATTTATGTGTTTATTTAGTAGAAATTTTTTTTAGTTGCCAGTCACCCAGAGGGTCTTGTGGCAACTTACAACATTAAAACCAATAAGGCAAACCCCCCCCCAACTTAAAAGCAATGAACAAATACAAAATATGAACATTAAAATACGTGGGTATTAAAACAGCCCAAACATGTGGTGACCCTCCAAGGGCCAACCCGAATTGTTCAGTTTTGGATACGAAGCAAGTCCGGCAGGGCCTGGGTGTCAACTCGGGGCCACCGCCGAGAAGGCCCTTCCCCCCTGGTGGCAGCTGACGGAGCCATCCTTGGCAGAGCGGCTCTGGCTAAAAGTTTTGAGTCCAGGCTCTCCCTTTTACAGTGAAGGCTCTTATTTACTGCATTTGTACCTCGATTCTCTCCCTAGTGGGGATCCAAAGCAGGCTGCCTTCTTCCCCACTCCCCGGTTTTATCTTCATGAGACTAGCAGGCTTCCTGGCAGAGTGAGGGTTGGAACCGGGGTCTCCCAGACCCTGACCTGACACTCTAACCGCCACACCACGCCGGCTGTCTCTGGAGTATGAACTGCCATCCCCAGCAGTCCCTCCTGACAAGACCAGAGTCAGTCAAGCTCCCTCTTTTGGATCTCTGTGGTGCATAAATGTTGTGTGGTGTAGTGTGCTTGTTTGTTTTTCCCCAAGCTTGCGCAATGGCTACTGGCCCGAAGGCAGGCTTTGAAGAACCAGGCTGCTGGCTGTCCGTTTGTCCCCAGCGCGCAAAATCCTTGGTTTCTCAGTGTAGTACAGCAGCTCCGTGCCCAAATGGCTGTGGAGGAGAAAGGCGTTCTCTTGAATAAGTGACGCGGCTCTCAAGCACATTGCGTCTGTGTTTCCAGCCAGCTCTGAAGGAGGCAGCCCCATAGGACAGACAGGGCTCTGAGGCTGTGGGAACAGGTCGCAGGCTGCAGCCCCCTCCACCTCTCACAGGTGCTCCCCCCCCCCCTTTTGCAAAGTTCTGTATGTCAGACACCTTAAAAGTCACCATTTGTTGATGCTAGGTTGAATTCTGCTTGGAGGACCGAAGGTTATATTTTTCAGGCTACAAAGGAAGGATTTTCATAAGCAGCTACTGAAAGGAGAATGCTTGCTCCGTTTGGCATGGCAGAATCTGACGTAGGCAGCGGAGCCTTAAGGCCACTGAGGCGTCTTATGTGTGATGGACGTTCTTTGAGGGAGCTATCCAGGTAGCAGCTTTCCCAGCCCTTCTGGAACGGGGTGCAGTGACAGCAGCCCTGTGGGCAGCGGTGGACTTCCTCAGGGAAGGGTACAATGCTCCCAGCTCTCTTGCGTGCAGCTGTAGTGTGGATGAGACATGAATAGAGCAGCGGACTGTGCTGCTCCTCTGGCTTGGCCTCCTCTGCCCTAAGCTGTATGTCCTGCCTGGGTAGGTGACCACAGCCAAGCCACTTTGGGAAGGTGTTGCTGTTTGCTGGGTCAGTTGGATGAGGATTGTATATCCTCCCCAGTCTCAGTTGCAAAGCGTGAACCATGTGAGGGGCTGCAGGGTGTTTTTGGGCTTTACGGCTGTAGCAGCAGCCTCAGGAGCGCAAAGGGGGGTTTCCTGGAGAGCCGACAGACCCCTGGCAGAGATTTCCACTGTGCTGTTCCACCGCGCTGTTCAGAGCAGGAAGGGAAGGGAAAGCGCAGAGCGTGACTCAGCATTTTCAGGCCCCGTGTGACCTGGCAGAGCACGTCCTTTGCCTCTTGCTTCCCAGCCTAGGATGGGGAGGGAGAGATTGTGTTGCGCAGCAGGCCTGGTTTGGTGCCAGTGAGTTTGGAAATGGAGCTAAAAATAATTCTTCCCTAGTTTCCGCTTTGGTGGAGCAGGGAGGACGGGGGGGGGCGGGGGAGGGGGGGAGCAGAGATGGTTTCTGGGCCTCTTGGCTTGCTTCCATGCGCCTTCACCTTGCATGCAAGGCATGCTGGTCATCCCTGCAGGCCCGTGTCCTGTGCAAGGTCCCACCTCCTGGTGAAAGGATCTCCGTCAGGAGCAGGACCTTCTGGTCCCCCATGTGCTACGGCTCTCTTCTCCCCCACCCCCAGGCATGTCCTGCTTTATTCCAGTTGGGAGCCCCACAGTGAGAAAACAGGCCCCTAAAGTTATGCTGAAGGTCACCCCTGGGAGCTGAAGACAGAGGGTAGGTGGGAGGAGATGGTGGCTTCTTGACTCATCGCAGCCGCCTGGGGATTGAGCCCCATAAATGGCAGGTGCTTTACTTGCACGGAGCCTTGCACTTAGGACATGGGCCCAGTGGGTGTCATGGCGGGCTCAGTCGTGCTTCCTGCTGCGTGGTGAGGTGGGCAGGTTTGGGCAGGGGGCCTCGGTATGGCAGTATTGTAGGCTCAGTGGCCCTTCCCATCATCTGTGGTGGAGCACCAGTTCTGTGTCGCTGGGAAGGTCCTGCCAAATGCTTCCCTGCTTCTGCAAGAGCCAAGTGCTGGCTGTTGCAGAGAGAAATTGGCTCCCCAGAAAGGAAGGTGTTGAGGAGCCTGTTCGGAGTCTTTCCTGCAGCCACTGTTCCATTAATGCCTGTTGCTTTACAGGCTCGCTGGCTGTTCCTGGCATCAGCTCTGTTAGAGTGGAGACCAGTTTCCCCCTTTTTACAAATGGAAAGAAAAGGTGGCTGCAGGCAGAGATGGGTTTTGGAGGGGGTGAGGCAGATTTCTGGAGGAGATGGGGTGACTGAAGGAGGCCTCCACATCTAGAGGCCGACAGAAAGCAGGGGGAGGCCTAGGCCGCTGTGCCCTGTCTGTTGGCCGTCCCGGGCAACTGGCGGGCCACTGTATGGAATAGCAGGCTGAGCTAAATGAGCCACTGGCCTGATCCGGCAGAGCTCCTCTGCTGTCCACCTTCTGAACTTTGTAGCAAGGGTGGGCATTAGCACATAGGGCTTAGAGATCCAAGGCTGTGCTGTAGTCTCCCGTCTAGTCATTTCCTGTGAGCTGGGCACCCGCTGGCCAGCAGGTGCCAGGTCCAGTGAGCTTCGTAAGCCCAGCCATATTTTTAAACTTGGCATCAAAAAAGCAGAATAAATCCAACAAGCCGATGACAGTTCTCGTGTGCGTTCCTTTTCCCGTTTTTCCATGCAGTGGTCAGTAGGAAAGACGATGACTCCGGTCTGCTTGGATGCAAGAGAGGTGGGCCTTGGCCTGTTGGAGTGTGAGTTCTGGAGGAATGGACAGAATTAGGTGGTGGCTGATGGAGGGATCCGTGTGTGTGTGTGCATGCGTGCAGGGGGAAGAAGCCGCTGGTAGCCATTAGAGCCCTCCCAGAGATGGGCGGGGCATGGCGTGTGCCGGTAATTGGCAAGTGGCTGCTTGGGCCTCTTTGCTACTGGGACCCTCCCCTTTGTGCCTGAGGAATAAGGTCACCCAGGCACATAGGTTGCTTGAGGATCTTTCTGCTGACAGTGTGGACAGTCTCCTTTGCAGCATGAGCGATAGATGGTGTCTGAGGAGAAGCTGTGGTCTCCCTTAGTCCTCTGTGATCATTGCCGTAGGCTTCCAAGAAGCTTTCTGTTTATCCGCCCTGCTGCCTGTGTAGGGATGGCTCAATCCCCCAGAGGCCTTGTCTGTGCCGACTTGGCAGGTCCCCGAGGCATCCAAGGACCCAGGGAACGGGGCTGTTTGCTGTGACAGGGCCCAGGGAGGAGAGAGCATTTAGCAGTGGAGGCCAAGCGGCAGGGAATGCTTTAATTTTTACAAAGTGCAGCCTGGATTTTAAAAGGAAGTGTTTAAAACTGCGTGTCAGGTTGGCCAGCTGGGCAGATGTCCTGTGCCCTGAGAGGTACCCATGCCGTGGCCTCCGTTGCTGGGTTAGGGTCAGATAGTCCTGGTGAGCTGAGAAGAGCCTGTGTCCGGTTCCAGGGCAGGCTGTCTCTGAGGGTGGGCTGCAGTGCTGGGCAAACTGTTTCCCTCCTCTTTGGCCTGTCTCTGAGCCCCCAGGGTGTCTGACTTGGGAGGGTCAGCTGGACCTTGAGTCTGGCCCTGCCTGGCAAGTGTGGTATGAATGAAGTGATGGGAAATTCAGACTCCAGGACGGAGGAGGAAGGTGTGAGAGTCACTCGCTCACGGCTGCTTCTCTCTTTTTCCTTGCTGTTGCTTGCAAGTCAGACGCCATACACCTCCTGTTGAGATGCTTAGACGGTGTATTCCCCACTGAAGCAGTCCGGCTGGCCCAGGTTGGAAATGGGTTCTTGGGTCAATGGGCTGATACCGACCAAGGTGCCGGGGGGCTCTGAGAGGCTGGCAGGAGGCCGAGCGCCACGTCCTCATTCACCATGTTTCTCTTTTCTGTGGCAGGCCCCTTATCCTTCCGGACAGAATGCAGCACCGACCACGCTGGTCTACCCGCAGGCCGCTCAGGCGATGAGCACGCAGCCTCAGACGCGCTCTCCGGTAAGGACGCCTTTCCTTGCTCAGCTGATGTTCACTCTTGGCAAGTTGGCTCACTTGGGAAGAAGGTGGCCGAAGGACTTCCTTGAGGTAGTGGTTCTGCCACAGGGGTTCCCTGCTCCACCCCCGAGGCTTCCTCCCCAGGGTCCTTTTCAGAGAAACGTTTGATAAAGGCTGGGACACAAACCTTTCCTAGCTGTCTGCCAGAAGCCCACCCCTCTCAGCCTCAGGACCTGTTCTCTCCACTCCTTGTCATGGAGCCTTGGTGGCAAGGGCGTTGTCATCGCCGTGCGGACTCTCCCAGTGGGGCCTGCAAATGGGGCCTGCTCCGCGCACCCTGTCTCGTCTGCTGCCACTGCGGGCCGTGCATCCCCTTGCTCTCAGAAGCAGTGTGCCCTTCCCTTGGCTGTCCTGTGGATCCTTGCTACCCTGCGGGATAAGTGTGAGCGCGTAAGCCTGGCTGTGAGGCGTGGGACACGTGCACATTGTGGCTTGATCTTCTGCTGGAGTCTCCTCCTTGGGGGGGGCGGGGGGCTTGTTTTCTGCAGCCCACTGCCACCGACTCCTCCTGTGCCCCTCTGCCTTTGAACTGCCTTGGAAAAGGGCCTCCAGCTCCTCCCAGTCCAAGCCCTGTGATTGTGAGTGGGTAGTGACGGAAGAAGGCCCCCCCCCCCACCGCTGCTGCCCCAGGTCTGTGCCGCCCAAGTGAGGGTGCGTGGCTAGAGCCAGAGGAGACCCCGCTTCAAGCCACCTCTCTAAACCAGTTTTCTCGACAGCCCAGCCCTTGCACAGAGCCCTGGAAGCGGAGGAAGGTTTTGCAACAGAGTCCGGTTTACCGGTCCTTGGCGGAAAGAGGCTGGATAAAATACTGCATTGTAAGCAATGTGACAAACTGTACTCCTCCTTGCAGGCAGCCGTGCCCACGGCACTCGTTCAGTTCTGTTCCCTTTTTGGTTTTCGGTTCCTACCGCATTGTTGACTGATCTACAGAAAAGCACTGAGCTCTGCTTTCTGCAAGGAAGCCGGCGCAGGTCTGAATCGGGCCCTTCAGGATAGAGGCAGGGCTGCCAAAACACGCGAGAAGTTGGGGGCAATTGGCATGTTTCCCAGCCCAGATTGGGGGTTCACGTTCAATTACTGGGAACGAGCAGAAGACTCTCAAAATTGCAGGGACGTGCCCAGCGACTGGAGGACATTGTCTCCTAGGTGCCAGCCATTTTTCTGTGGTCATGAACAATTCTTTCTCAGATACCCTCCTGCGTGCAATCTCTGCCATCCATTGCGTTTCGTGACTTTGCCACCCCATTACTAAAAATTGCTCATATAACATTTCACCCTCAAAACCCCCACCCCACCCCCCACCCCCAGTTCAGAACAAATGCAAACTTGGCCAGCCTGGAGCTGCTCCTGCGTTTTGTTCTGGGTTTCCTGCAGCCACACCTGCTTCCCTCTCGTCTGTTTCTGCCATCGGGGGTCACTGGCACACCTCCGCCTGCCACTCCCAGGCATGGGTGGGCTTTTGGGTTTTGCTGCAGGGTGGATGCCACAAGTTTTGCCGTTGATTCTTTTGTGTAGCCCATTTGTCCCTTTCTTTAGTTCTGAACCCTGGTCCTAAATTCTAGAGCAGCCTAGCCAGCGTAGCAGGACTGTTGAATTGGGGGAAAGAGGAGCCAGTGGCTGTTTTGAATCCTTGCGGCAGGTGTGCCAGGCGGCACCGGCTGGGTATAGCAATGCTTGGGAGCAGGACCAGGGGCTGGGGGGTGGGATTGGGGGTCTCAGGCTCTTGGCATCTGAAAGGCAAAAGAAACCTGGTTTTGATTGGAGCCGGCCCGGGACTACAGTTTGTTCTGTTGCTTACAGCTCTTAATAGGGAGAGAAATGCTGTCGGTGGACATTAGGCAGCCCATAGCCAGTAGTGACAGATACAAAACATACTAGATTCAGATGGGTCGCTGTGTTGGTCTGAAGTAGCTGAACAGCATTTGAGTCCAGTGGCGCGCCTCTTAAGACCAACAAATGAAAACTGGACTCAAACTTTGTTCTGGAAAATATACTCGATACTGTTCGCTAATATGACATATTTGCTCTTCAGACCTCTGGTTTTTCCTTAATTTGATTAAGATGCAAACTTATGAACTGCTGGGCATGAACTGTGGCACAGTGAGGAGGTGGACAGACACCCTTTGTCCCATAATATAGTTCTTCCCTGATCTTCTGATGGGTCTTTCTGGGTTTCTTGGTGGATAAACTTCCATACGCACACCCAGTAGACGCTCTGTCCTTCTCAGGTCAGACATTTGTGCCCTTCAGTCAGAGGCAGGAGAAGATGCCACGTTCAACCTGTGCCAGTGCGGCCAGCATTCTGCGGCACTAGAAGGGCCACTAGAACAGAAGCGTTTGGTTCAGCGGTGCTTCAGGAAATGTAGGCTTTAGGTCTGGGACACTCTGGGGGCAAAGGAGCAAGAGCCCTCGATGTGTGGAGCTGGGACTGCCGTGGTTCTGCCGGTATCTCTGCTCAGGAGAGAGGCTGCCTGTCCTGCCTCTTTCTGAATACTTGAGTTGGATGCCCAGGGCCTTTTGGTGTCTGGGGAGGATGGCAGCTCTGCAGGAGCACCCTGTTCCCGTTCACTGTCGTGGGGCTCGAGCAGACGCCTCCAGAAGAAGGTGCCCAGAGACTGGCGTGTATGTTTTCTGCATGCTCTTCAGTTTCCCGCATTGCATTTCTGTTCATAGCCAGCTTTCAGCTAAGGCCTAGTGACAGGCTGGTGGCCTTTTCCTCCTGAGCAGAGCAGTGAAGACAGAGAAGGAGGCGGTCTGGCCCAGAGGCCCCAGCCGGCCTGCCCCACTGCCCCTGCAGCTGCTGTCAGTGTGCCCCAGGAAGAGTCCTGTGGCTCAGGCCTGAGAGGCAGTTTGGGGCTGACGGTGGGTGTTGCTGCCCCTGCAGGGGGGAAGGGCAGCCCTGAGCGGCAGTGGCGGGCCTTGCGAGAGACAAGAGAGCTGTGAAGAGGGAGGGGGCAGACACGGCCCAGGGGGGTGGCCCAAATGGAACCCATCAGTGAGGGGGATCTTCAGGTTTCCTTCCCTTGCGCACATGCCAGTGTCAGGATGCCCCTCGGGAAGCTCTCCCCCACCCCTTACGGCAGCGCGGAGTCAGCCTGTGGGGTCTCAGTATCTGTCTGTCGCTGTCCTGCAGCAAAGCTTTGGATGTGTAGCTTCGTTTTCTCCTTGTGGGTTTATTTTGCATACAGTGTGATGTTTTCGCCTTTTGTTGTGGTGTTTCTGACTCTCTGTGCCTTTCCTTTTGTGTTTTGTTTCTCCCGCTTCTCCTCAGTTTGCAGCGGGGCCTCGACCTGCCCATCACCAGGTACAGTACCCTCCTCACCCCTCCATCACCCCCCCCACTTGCTGCTGACTGTTTGGGGGAAGGGGGAGGTTGCCTGGCCCCCAGCTGATCCCCACTGGGGAATCCTCTTCTGCCTCTCATGCTCTCCTGCTCTCAGAAGGTGCCTCCACCCGCTTTCGTGAGGCTTCATCTCCCGAATTCTGTTGCATTTATTAACCAGCCCTTTACTCGGCCTCGTAGCACAGAGCCCACTGATGGTTGGTGAGCGTGGCCCTTTGTGGGCAGGGTGGCATGCTCTCAGCAGGTAGCTCAGTTACTACAAGCAACCGGGGAAGCCCTCAGGGTCCTAAGAGGTTTGCCTGCAGCCCTTTGGGCCACGCTGCGCTCTGAGGTCTGCTGTTTCTCCTCCTCCCTTGAAAGGGACACATGATTTGTAGAGCAGAGCTGTATTGAGTGGAGCAGGAAGAAAAATCGAGAGAGTGGCATTGCGCTTTCTGATCCCCTGCAGCTGACCTCTGGGGGAGAGCCGAGAAGAGTGGGTCAGTTTCAGGTCCTCCACACATCCACCCTCCAGGCCTGGTCAGACCTCTGTGTGGGCTGGATTTGCACTTCTGGACTCAGAACATGCCAGAGGTGGAGTCAGTGTGGTTCATGGGCAGTTCCCAGTGCCACACCTCTCCCAAGGTAGCCGAGATTAAACCACACTGCTTGGGCGGGGGGCATTTTTCCACACCTGAACTCATCAAAGGGAGTAAAGAATCCTTCAGTACCTCCTGCCCCCCACATACTGTAGCGTGGGGTGGGGTGGCGTGTGGGCCACAGTTGTGCTGTGTGGGATGCTTCTTCTGCGGGTCTTACAAGAAGCAGTAGTGGTGAGTGCTGGCCTGGTGGAGGGAGAGGGCATCAGCCCCTCCAGGGAGCTGAGGCTAGACACGAAGGAGTGCCTAGCAGAAGGGTGGGGAGCTGCCCATTCCAGTGGAGTGGCGATGGCCGGAGATGAGTGGGGAGCTTGGATGGGTTTGCGTTACACGGCTGGGTTTTAGAACTGGCTTTAAAACCCACTTACGACGTGGTGGTGGTGGTGGTGGGGAGAAGGATAAACACCCAGCTGCCAGCGATTCCGGCGCCCTGGCCCCAGAGCAGAAGTCGGGTACTGAGGCTGGTGCGGCACCAGTGGCACATGGCGCTTTCTCGGGCATTTGCAGCATGGGGAGCAGCACAGGGCTGTGTCGGAAGCAAACAAGGCCTCTCTGGCTCTCAAGGGCGGGTTATGTTGTTCCTGTGCCCCCTCCGCCACCCTTAGGCTCCAAGGGACGGGGACGCTTGGCAGTGCTGCTTCCAGAGTGGTTTCCTGCCATGATACTGTGCCAGAGGCTGCTTGGGGCCAGTGTGATTCACGTGCTCGAGCCATTAACTGGAAGCCACCGATGGCCCAGTCCATGATGATGGGGCGGGCAGGGGGAAGTGGAGGCTTCTCTTCTGGGAGAGGGCATGGTCCGGTGCTCTTGTGTGCCCTTTTCTTGCTCATGGGTCAAGGTCTGTGATCTCCTGCAGTTCTGCACACAGGCAGTGAACGACTGAGCCCATTGGATCCTGGCGCTGATGAGCAGAAGTGTTTGCACACAGATGTGTGACATTGAGCTTCCTCTTGGGCAAGAACGGGGAACGTTTTCAACGAGAGGGAGGGGCCCTGGCTCAGGGGCAGAGCATCTGCTTGGCATGCAGAAAGGTCCCGGGTTCAGTTCCTCACAGCATCTTCAGTTGAAGGGATCAGGTGACGAGCAAGGCCCTTTCCGGAGGTCCTGGAGTCAGAGCAGACTGACCTTGGCGGACCAAGGGTCCCATGCAGTAGAAGGCGGCTCCATGTAAGAGACGGGAGGATGCAAGATGATTCACTTGCAGAGGAGGAAAAACATTTCCCAGAACTGACAGCTGTTTAGATGGGAAGGTTGCCATTTAAATGGGGACTTACAGTCATAGAATCATAGAGTTGGAAGGGACCTCCAGGGTCCTCTAGTCCAACCCCACAGCAAATTAACATATACCTCCCCCTCCACACCCCCAGTGACCACTGTTCCACGTCCAGAAGGTGGCAAAAAAACTGGCCTGGAGAAAAATTGCTTCCTGAACCCAGAGTGGCAACCAGCATTTCCCTGGGCGTGTAAGAAAGGGCCACGAGAACTAAGCACTGAGGCAACCCTTCCTGCCCTCCCGCTTACGATCGGCCAGAGTTCACAGAATCCGCATGGCTGTCAGACGGCCATCTAGCCTCTGTTTGAAAACCTCCCAAGAAGGAGAGCCCACCACCTCCCGAGGAAGCCTGTTCCACTGAGGAACTTCTAGCAGGTTCGGCTCAACAGGTGCCGTCTCAATACAAGTCATGCTTATTATTTTGGGAACCCACTGAGCAAGAATTATTTGGTCTGCTTGTCTGTCTTCTCCAGCAGTGGGCTAAAAGGCAAGCCCTGAAATTTGGGGTGGACCCTCTTCCTGTTGAGAGTGGAGGGGTGTGTGTGTGTGGGTGGAGATGAGTATGACTTTAGTGGTCCAGCCCTGTTGTCTTGGAGGGAGCAGATCCTGCCTTCCCTCTCAAGGAGCGGTCAGTTCCATGCACTGAGGGCAATGGATCTCTTCCTCCCCCCACCCCCCACCCCTGGGGGTGGAGCACGGGGAACATGGCAGTCAGACTGGACCCTCAGCCAGGCACTTTGCACCTGGCTGTAGTTCACCACCTGGCTCCTCAAGGGGACCATTTTGTTTGCATCTTGCTCAAGCTTCCTTGGACCCATTTCTGTCTGGATATTGGCCTGACTTTGGAACTGGAACTCCCCAAGGGCCCTGACAGATGCCAAGACAGAGATGGGGGAGCATTAGGTCCCGCGGTGTCCCTTGCCAATTATGTTGCTACAGTAGATTATGGGCAGAGGTTGTGGCCACACCTTGTGGCCTTTGTGGTCTTTGACACGAGCCTGAGGAAGGGACAGCATCAGCATGGAGTGCCATGGGGTCGGAATGTTTTCTCTTGAGTGCCAGTAAGGGCATATGTGGAAAATGGCTCCTGGGAAAGCACAGAGTATTTTCCTGGTTCAGGTGGTGCCCCCCACACTTTCTGTCGTTGCCAGGGCTCAGAACTTTAACCCTCGCTAGCCACCGCTGGCTCCTGGGCGGGTTTTATTGAAAATCTGATAGTCCTCCTCTTGGCCTGTGCCTCTGAGGCAGTTTAGAATATAGGGACCCCTGACTGAAATAAAGCAGTGGCAGGAAAAGATTTCTAATCCTTAAAAACCAGCATGCTAGTAAAAACCACCATAAACTCAGCCTCAGCTAGCCCATGGTAATGTCCATCGGCCTGACGGTTGGCCAGTGTGCAGGACAGGATGCTGGACTAGCTGCAGCCCTGGCCTGGCCCAGCGAGGCACCTCTTACCATTGGTCCCTCTCCTTAGTAGGGAGACAAGGTGCTGGACCCGGGCTGGGTAGGGCTTGCAGTTTAACTGGGCCGCCAGTGTAGCTCTTTCAGAACTGGGATGTGGCATGCCTCATAGCGCACACACGCACGCGCACACACACGCACAGGGTGTCAGTTTTGCAGCTGCCGTTTCGGTCAGGTGAGGCTTCTGAGCCATCTTCCAAAACTGACCTGCCATGACTGGAGGGCGGATTCCTCTGGCCAGCTTGTGCTTGCCGAGGAAAGGCTGCTGCAGGCTCCTCTGTGGAGGGTCCGCTTCTCATCTGGCTCCACTTAAAAGGAGAACTAGTGTAGAGCAAGGATGCTTTACCCCAAATCTGCAGATAGCGGTTCCATGTTGATATCAAAAAGCCATCTCTGCCAGACCCACTGTACGCTTGTGGAGGCCCTAAGTAGCTGTCTGCCAGACGGGGCCAGAACCGCCAGAGCACCGTGCCTCTTCCACTCATCTTGGCCGCCTGATGAAGGAGGATGCCACAGTGGAGGGTAGTGAAGGCACCTGTGCTGTCCAGGAGAGTCAGCAAGGTCACACTCCCCCATCTCTCTGTCTCTGGCTTGGCATCTGGCAGGGTCCTTGGGGAGCTTCAGTTCCAGAGCCAGGCCAATATCCAGGTAGAAATGGGTCCAAGGAAGCTTGAGGCTGACTGACCACCGTCTGCAAGAAGGGGATGTTTGTTACAGGATGCTGGTAGCTGTGTATTCTGTTCTTGGGAGTGCTTCTTCAAAGACGCACAGTGACGGCCTCCGTCGAGCTCCTTTACACTTGAAACGGAAGAGAGAGAGACCGGCTATTACCCAGGAGGAAAACCAGATCACAAGGTCACAGCTGGACCTGGGTCAGCAAAGGGCATTAAGAAAATCCTAGACAGAGTGTTAACAAATCAACACGTATTCTAAAAAGCATGGATTTAATTCCTCGAAAGGAAATCAGATCTTATATGACATTGCCAGGTGAAAATAAGCTTTCAAAAAGAACAGGTGCAGTCTGATCATCCCCCCCCCCAAAAAAAAAAGAAGTGCCATGCAGCACCCATGGACCCTTCCACGTTTTCACTTGGCAACAGCCCTGCAAGGTGGTTGAGGTGGAGTGTGTGTGAGTGGGCCAAGGCCAGCCAGCCAGTATCGTTGCAGAGTAACGATTTGAATCTGTGTGTCTCCCAAGAGCCTTGTCTGACGCTTGAATGGCTGCATCGCAGGGCTGCTTTGCTGCCATGGTGTGTTGTGCTGTGGGTTGCAAAGCCCTGGTGTTGCCCGGCTGGGTCTGGGAGAGCAGGGGATGCGCTCCTCCCTGCCTGCCCCCTCTGGCCACCCCTGTGTCTGCGTTCTCCCTGGTGTGAGGCTTGAGGCAACTGATTCAGCCGGCAAGGGAATGTTTGCCTTCTGTCACCTGTGTCTTGAGAGAGCTCTCCAGTGGAAGCAGTTTTCTTAGTTTTTTGGCGATCTGCTTGTTGTGTGGTGCTACAGAGTATTTGGGTGTGCCCAAGCTCCCCTTTTGAAGGTGCACAGCGTTTGGGCCACGGAAGCCCAGAGCCACGCATGATTGCAGCACCCTTGTAGGCCGTCTCAGTGGGGATGTCTGCCGGAAGCTCTCAGTGGGCCAGGGTGAATTTCAGCTTCCCAACTCTGCACTGTGAGTGTGGGGAGGCTGGCCGTGGCAGTTTGTGGCCTTTCTTCTGTGGGCTCTGTGATTTGGTCAAGAATTGGCTGCAACTTTTCTGAGTCCCAGAGGTGTGACTGAATGGTGGTGGTGGGGGGCTGTTGTTGTCCTTGAGAAGAGCTGTCTGTGGCATGCTGTGTTCCTCATTGTACTGACCTCAGCTTTGTGGCCCGCCTGATCACGTTGCGTGTTGCACAAATGGGGGCTTGGGCAGTTGGGGAGCAGCTGCAGGAATTTTGCATGCCCCTCCCCCACGTAGCACTGGAGTTGCAGCTTTTCTGCCCAGTTGCAGCTCTTGATGCCAGCCGGAGAATTTGTGGTGATGGCTGAAGAAGCTTTAGTTAGGGTGACCCCGGAGAGGCAGGGAGTCAGCGAGAGAGACTCCGGAGGCAGAAATGCCGCTGGTCCCGGGGGGGGGGGCTTTTCCCACCACTTGGTTCCTGTCACTGCGACTCCCTTTTGCCTGACGTTTGAGCTCCTCTCTGAGGAGGTTCTAACTTGGGAAGGAATTCTTTCTGTCATTCCGTTACCGTCCCAGCTGTAACACTTTGCGTTGTTTTGCATCTCTCATTCCTCCTCACAAGAGCTCTGTGAGGGGGAAAAGATACGGAAGGCTTGCCCACAGCGCACGTACACACACCCGGCGTGTTCCTAGCTGTGGTTGGTGGGGCACGTGGCCTGGGGCCGCTGCAGAGGCTGGCCCATCCCCTTGGGGGTTCCCTGGCTCAGGTGGGCAGACGCCAGGCTAGCCCACTTCAGGGAGGGAGCGGGGCCTGGGAAGCCTCCTGGGTGTCCAGGTTAGGAGAGGCCGGCCAGCCAGCCTGGTGCCAGTTCCCCCCCCACACACACACACCTTTTGACCAGCACGGCCACTGCTGTCTGGAGGTGGTGCAGAGACATCCCCTGACCCTGTCCGGCCGGCCCTCTCCTCTCCTCCCCTCTCCTGCAGCCCCAGAGTGGGCTTCTTCCTCTGGAGAGTCGCTCAGCTCAGTCCTCTGTTCTCGGGTCCCTGACCTGTGAGGGGACGCGGAAGGCGCTCTGCTGGGGGGAAGGGGCAGAATCCGAGGCAGGGTTGGAACGAGGCCGTTCACGGAGCCAGTTCCGAGGCCCTCCTTGCGGCTGCTGGGAAGCCCTGGCCGGTGGCCTGGTGGCGGTTCGTGCTGGGGCAGTGTGCCAGGCAGCCGCCTCAGCGGAGAGTGGCAGGAGGGCGTCAGGGTGCATGCGGCCTCCCACCCCCTCCTTCCTCTTGTTTGACCTGTCAGCTCTTCCATTGGCTTTCTTTCTATTTCCTGCTGCTTTCTTGCTTCGTTCTTGAAGGGAGGATTCAGACCCATCCAGGTAACGTTCACTACTGGTTCTGCATGGCCTGTCTCTTCTTGATCACCGTCACCGATTACGGGCTGCGTTAATGCTTGATGCAACCTTTTGCGCCCTGGACGTTCAGGTGGGGGAGGCCACCAGGAAGCCCTGGAGGAGCTGGGCCGGGCAGGGGGTCTTCAGTGAGGGTTCCTCCTTGCAGTGGAAAGGGGTTGCAACCTTTTTGAAAACGGCAACAAACTGGGGACCAGCGGGGTTCTTCCAGATTGGGCATGGCCAAGGAAGGGGGGGGGGTCTGGGGATGGCCAAGTGAGGCCTAATTTCTCCCTTCTTGCTGCTCCCTTCTCCAGAACTACAGGGGCAACTCTGGCTTTCCCGTCAAAAGGCGCATGTGCGCCATGGTGCCAGCTATGCCCTGGCACCCCTCCTCCTGGCGCAGATGAGCAGGCACTTGGGCCCCAGGGGGTTGGTTGCTCTCACCCAAGTTGCAGCATTTTGCCTTCTTCCTAGAGAGGCAGCATTTCTGGACATTTCAAAGCTGTGGGAAAAATAAGGACATTTCACATCCTGTCTAGACTTACTTTACTGCTGTTAACAACACAAAGTGCACCTTTTGTAACTTGGAATAAACATTTATATGGTTTGGCGTAAGAGCCCTGGTTTTCTACAAGCAGGACTCCAAAGGTGCCCAGTCCTTGAAATGGAGCTGCAAACGGGGAGAGCTGGTGCTACTTTGTCGCATATATTCCACTATTTGCTGTCTGAGAGGGGGGGGGGAGCTGAAATTAGAAAACAAATTTCCTAGTAAATATACCATGTTGCGACAGAAACAGTCTCACAGTCACAGGACAAGGTACCCCTGTAGATTGTCTTACATACTTTCATGCTATGTGGTTTGATTGAGTAAAACCATATATTGGAAGAGCATGTCACTCATTCCAAAGTTGTTTTAAAAAACCCAACTACTACCCAAAGTGTGGGAGGAAGGATTGGGGGGGGGGGGTTGTGGGGGTTTTCCCCTGGGCCATCACCCTTCTAAAGGGAATTGGCATTATCTACTTCTGTAGATTTTATTATATACAGGTGTTCATACTACACCTTTTGATTTAGTAGGATCTTATCTTGAACACCATTGCATTCATTCCAGAAGAGGCAATACTTCAGTGGCTACTCAACCTGGAAACTAAAGAGAGCCTCCACTTCTAGATGCAGCACACCTCTGCAACCCAGTGTGAGGGGGCAGTATATGTGGAAGGCCTTGGCCTCTCTGCCCTGTTGTGCTGTACAGGATGCTGATGGACCCTCAGTGGTCTGATCCAGCAGGGCTCTTAAATGTTTAGCTTCTGTTCATAGGAGCTTATTTCAGTGCTTCCCAAAATCTCCTGTTTTTTGCATCAGACAAAAAGGAAAAGTCCTTGAGGGGGGAAGGGAATAAGGAAAAAGAATTTGAATTTTTCCAGACCTTCATGTTTCTGTTCCCCCCATCCCACTCCCAGTTTTTCCAGCGACCTCAAATACAGCCTCCTAGAGCTGCCATTCAGAACAGCAACCCTTCCCTCCGTCCTGGGGCACAAACGCCAACGGCTGTCTATCAAACCAATCAGCACATCATGATGGTGAATCACCTGCCGATGCCCTATCCGATGCCTCAGGGCCCCCAGTACTGTATCCCACAGGTAAGGTCGCAGGGCCTTGGTGCAGGAGAAGCCCCAGGACTTCACCTGTTAGAGACTTCACCTGTTAGAGATGCTGCATTTCCAAAAGCACTGGAAGCTGTGGGAGGGTGGGGTGGGGGGGCCTGATAGGAAATACGTTCCTCTGCATGGGGCGGGGAGTTGGAGGGCAGACTTTTTGGGAAAACCCTGGAAATCTGTGCAGTATCTATACGATTAGGTGATCTAAGCCTTACCACTAAATGAAAGTAATGCGTTTTAGGTATAATTTGGCTCTGCTGTTGGGTATATTTATTTATTTGTAACATTTTTGATCCTCTTTTTCCAGTCAAAGACTCATAGTTGGTTAATTGTTAATCTCTAAAAAAACTTTTGAAATGCAGTGTCATTTGAGTTCATTAAGTAGTCGAATTGTACATATTTTATTAATAGTTCGGATATTATGTGATTATAGAAATATGCCCTGTAATGTAACAGTGCCCACTTATGGAACACCATCTCTTGTTCTTCTTTGCTTACTGGAAAAATATTGTTCTAAGTTAATAGTGAATAGTTTTAAAAATCCTTGATAAACAGGCACAGATGAATCTTAACAAAAATAAAGTAAGCCAGAGCATCAGTAGATCAGAGTCCACAAAGAGGTCCAGTTGGGTTTGGACACATCCTCCTGAAGGACCAGCCCTGCAGGGGTCTCCCAGCAGTCTCCAGGTGGCCATCTCGCCATGGAGGTGCCGTGATGGAAGAAACTCTGGCTGGCCTGCAGGGTGGAACTTTCAGAAGGCCTTGGTCCACAGAAGGGAACTGTTGCAGTGGACCCTATTAGGAGAAGCAGCCTTGTAGATAGTTGGTATTTTAAAATATAGATGCTTTGTTTTATTGTAATAGTCATAACAGATCTACCCAGAGGCGGAGTGGCAAGCCCTTAGCCCCTCTGGAATTCGAAGCATAAGTTCGTTTTTGCAAGTTGGGGAAACTGGAAAAAAGAGTAAGAGCTGAAAAGCAAAGGAAGGGGTGGTCCCCGACCTGGCCGCCATCTCCATGCCCTTCGTGCCAGCAGGATGGGCCAGAAGAACCGGCTGGGCCAAGCCAGCAGAGATGGCTGTTGAGTCGGCGGGAGGGGCTGGTACCGCTTCACAGTCTTAAGTCCCAGAGCTACTTTGCAGGGATAATACGCACGTACGTAGAAAGCACGTTGAGAGAATAAAGGGTAGCCAAAACAGCACTGAGAAAAATTTGCTGTTCTTCAAAGCAAAGCCACTAGCAATGCTGTTGTACGTCAGCCCATGAAGCCAGGACCTTTTGAGTCCCCTTCTGCTGTCCAGACTCCAGAAGCTGAGTATTCAGTCCTTGGGTGGAAATGGTCAGCTAGTGGACAGTCTCAAACACTGGGTAGCCCTGGTTCTTGGAAATGTGTTTTGGGCCCTGGGCTTTTTCTGTGCCCCCACCCCCAGGGAGGAATCTTGAACTGTGTATCCATTAACTGCCTTCACCTTGATAAACTCCCTGAGCATCATCTGGGCAACGTGTAGACTAGCCGCTCAGCTCTTGGCAGCCTTGGCACGCCAGAGTATTTGCATAGGTCCATGCCAAGAAGGGACAAGTCCCAGGTTCAGTCCCTGCGGCATCTCCAGTTAAAAGGGTCCAGTGGCAGGTGATGGACAAGACCCCTGTCTGAGACCTTGGAGAGCCTCTGCCAGGTCGGAGGAGATGAGGCTAACCTTCCAAGACCAAATGTCTGGCTCTGCAGAGGGCAGCTTCATGCATGTGAAATTGGGGGAGCCCCGGCACACGCGTGCCTTTGCTTGATTGTGTGGGGCAGATCCTGCTGCTGCTTTGGGATATTTTTTCTGAAGAGAGCAGCACGGCTCCCTCGCCACTCTGAATGCTGCCTGAGCCTTCTGTCTCAGTCAAGAGGGGTCTATCTGGCCTGCCATCGCTGAGTCGCAATCCCCTCGCAACCAAGGCTTCCTCTCAGCTGTGGAGTCTTGTGAGCAAAAATTCCACTTTGTGAGCTGCTGGCATTAAAGTTGTGAGCGAGCGATTGGGCTGCTGCGTAAATTAGTTTGCTCTGGAGCCCTCCCTTCCTGAGCGAAGACAAAAATGCATGAGCCGGAGGCTAAAAACCTGTGAGCTAGCTCACACGCACTCAGCCTAGAGGGAACACTGCTCTCAACTCCTCGTGCTGCTTCTTCCACAGTATCGCCACAGCGGCCCTCCATACGTGGGGCCTCCGCAACAGTACCCTGTTCAGCCACCAGGGCCGGGCCCGTTTTATCCAGGACCGGGGCCTGGAGAGTTTCCCAACGCGTACGGTAAGGAGAGAGTGGTGGATAAGACCCCTGCCTTGTAACCCGTGATGAAAATGGCTTGGTTGCCTTCCAGAGCTGAGGGTGCACCAAGCTAGATATTTTTTAAAATAATAATAATAATAATAATGACGATGATGATGATGATGTAGTTAGCCAGGGAAGTCTGGTGGCCTGGGTAAACGATGAAAACCGAAGTGATTGGCATCCTTTCCTCTGCTCTTTCTGCTGTCTTTCTCTCCCGGGCTTTGCCTGTCGGAGGAAGGAGTGATCTTGTGCAGAGATCCCAGTGCTGCCGGATGCCTGAGATTTCTACAGGCATGGTGCGCACCCTTTCAGGCGGCAACCATAAGGGAACTCAAGACTTGCTTACATAAAGGAAAGCTTAGTTTTCAGCCCCGTGCGGCATTCCATGGGTCTTCCACTGTCCTGTGGAATCAGGGCATGTGAGCAGCCCTGCCCAGGGACCGACACAGATGACAGAGCTGCAGCATCCCTTCTGGCGGCTGCAGAGCGAAACTCTTTCTGATCTTGATGGCGGCCAGACTCACTGTCACAGGGCTGGAAAGTGAAGGTCTGCTGGGCTGGGAGGCCCCTGCATGCCTTGTACGGTTGGTCCCACCTCGCCAACGTGGTGGTGATCCTGAGTGATCCATGCATGTGTGCAAGCCCCATGCATGAGGGAAGAGGGCCCCTGGCTTGGCTAGCGGGGGGCTGAAGGGGCATGGTGGTGGGAGGCTTCTTTGGCACACCCTGGCATCTGCTGCCTTCCCGCTCTGGAGGACATCCAAAGATGATGCCTTGGACAGTGGGCAAACGTTCCCTTCTTGGCCTCGGGCACTGACTCAAGGACAGGCTCTCCGCAGAGCTGGGGGGGGGGGTGTCCCTGCAGTCACGTGCAGGTTGTGGCTTTCCGACTCTGCTCCGATTGCTGGGCGGTGTCCCCAGGCTGGGGAGCTTGTGAGTGGGTCTTCTTGCAGAGGAACAGTGAGGGATCCAGGAGGGCTGAGTGGCAGGGGGGCTGAGTGTGCCTTTGCTTTGCAGGAGCACCTTTCTATCCAAGTCAGCCGGTGTACCAGTCAGCACCCATCATAGTGCCTACGCAGCAGCAGCAGCAGCCCCTCCCACCCACCAAGCGGGAGAAGAAAACGGTAAGGGGGGGCCCCTAGTGGTGAGGCCTGCATGTGGAAACACGTGCAGGGGCTGTTCTCACGGCTGCCGTCAGAACCAAGAGGGCATTGCTCCGCTCTGGATAATCCTTCCGAGTCGGCCTGTGCTTGCCCTTCAGTGGCCACAGGCATGCAGAAGGAGCTAGGCCCCTGGACTGCAGATCTGTTTTTGCAGCCTCAGGCTGAGTCAAATGAAACTGTAGCCCAGGCTCAGGAAAATCAAGGTTGTCTGAGCTTCAGGTGCTTTGTTTTGTTTTCTGCAGATTCGCATCCGGGACCCAAACCAAGGAGGCAAAGACATAACAGAAGAAATTATGTCTGGCGGAGGGAGCAGGAACCCCACACCTCCGACTGTTCGGCCCACATCGACGCCCACGCCTCCCCAGGTAACCGTACGGGGAGTCACCTGGCCCTCACCTCTCGCCTTCTTGCCCTGCTTCTTCAGACATCAAGCCCTTATGGTGTGTTCAATGTCTGACACACCCTGAAAGACGATGGAAGAAAAGAGCAACGTGACTAGTCTCCCTTCCAGTCCACATCACTTTGCAGAGATCTTCAGCAGTGCCTGGACACACAGTCTGTCCAATTGATTTACCGGTTGGGGGGGGCGGAGGCCAGCGCTCCCTCTAAGCTGTGGAGTCTTGTGAGCAAAAATTCTACTTTGCGAGGTGCCGGCATTAAAGTTGTGAGCGAGCGATTTGGCTGCTGCATAAGTGAGTTGGCTCTGGAGCCCCATCCTTCCTGAGCTAAGCCAAAGACGTGTGAGCCGGAGGCTAAAAAACTGTGAGCTAGCTCACACTGACCCAGCTTAGAGGGAACTCTGGCAGAGGCCCTTCTGTGCTCTCCCCACTTGCTGGTAGGGAGTTGGTGCACGGGGGCACGTCCAGAAGGAGGGCATCATGTGTTCAGCCTCAGATCTGTGCACGCTCTCCCCCCGCCCTCAGAATGGGGGGAGGCTTTAACGTGCTGGAGCAGGTGTGGTTTTCTGCTGAATGGCTTGTTGAGGGCTTCAGTGTGGAGCACGGTAGCCTCAGAGGCTTGAGGGTGGGGGCACTTCTGGCTGCGGTGTATGAATGCGCTGTGCTGTCCTTTTTTGCTGCTTGTAGTAAGTTTCTCCTCCTGCTCCCTCCTGCTTTTTTCTCTCCCACCCTGCCATGTATTCTTGAATGGGCTCTCTCTCTCTCTCTCTCTCTCTCTCTCTCTCTCTCTCTCTCTTTCTCGGCCTTTTCTTTTTCTTGCTCTGAACTGCTTGCTTGCGCTCCATGTTGCTAGTTTTTGTGTTTGCACTCTCATCGTCACCCTTTTTTGTACTTCCAATCCCTGCAGCAGCTGTCCAGCCAGGTCCCAGAGCACAGCCTCGCGGCCTACGGGATTACGGAGACCTCTCCTCTGGCCAGCAACACCCCCGTCGTTACAGTTCTCGACCTGAAGCAAGGTGGGTGCCTGGACTTTGGTGTCTGCCTCCCTCGTCCTGCTTATCAGAAAGTGAGTGTAGCCATGACCTCTGAGGCTCAGCTGGGGCCCCCAGACCCTCTCTTCCTTCTGGCCTTGGTGTGGCCACAACAGGAGCTTTAGGCAGGCTGTGTTCGCTCAGTCTGCAAAAGGGGTTTTGTGAGCATCAGCATTTAGCTTGTGGTCAGTTGTCATCTTTCTTTTCCTTCCCAGTTTGGACCCCAGGAGTGGCAAGTGACTGATCCTAAGCAGGTTGAATGCCCTTCTCCATGGCTGCATCCTGCACAGGCAGCATGGCACCGTGGGGGAGCAGCTCTGAGAGCCAGTTTGGTGTAGAGAGCCAGTTTAGTGTAGTGGCTAAGTGCGCGGACTCTAATCTAGGAGAACCGGGTTTGATTCCCCACTCCTCCTCCACTTGCACCTGGCTGGATGACCTTGGGCAGGCTGTAGTTCTGATAAGAGCTGTCCTTGAAAAAGAGCCGTTCTCAGTCAGATCTCTCTCAGCCCCGCCTACCTTACAGGGGGTGTCTGTTGCAGGGAGGGGAAGGGAAAGGCGTTTGTAAGCCGCTCTGAGACACCCTCGGGTAGTGAAGGGTGGGGTATAAATCCAATCTCTTCTTCTCTTCTGGGGGCCTGGGCTGCTGGTTCTGTCCAAGAGCTTGCAGTGATTGATGTAGTCATCCGTGTTCCCTGATCAAGCATTTTGCAGGCTCTCTAGCACAGGGATGGGCACCAAGTGGCCAGTGGGCGGCCATGCTAAGGTGCAAGGACCCGGCAGCTTCTGTTTGTGCTTGCTTCTGCTCTGTCCAGCCTTCTTGGAGCGCAGGGGCCCAGGGCATCCCGGAGGGCAGCAAAATGGCCTGCTTGGCTCCTGGTTTTAACTTGGCTTTACGTTGCTATTTGAAGGCTGAGGGAACTCTTTGGACGGGGGAAGCTGCCGTTTCTAGCCTCGTGGGAATAACGAGATTATTATTATTAATAATAATAATAAGCTGCAGTCTGCCTCTCTTGTTGAGGTTTGAGGCGGGTTACGCAGCTTAAAACCGTGCAATAAGAACAACAGAAACACACAATCTACAGTGAATATAACTGAGCTGCAGTTTAGAGACTCATGACATACAAATAATGTACACCTAGAGATGTAAAGATTCTGTCGATTTGAATCCACAGGGGAAAATCTTTACAGTTCTTTGGGGTGAGAAAAAGGAAATTTTGGGAAAACTGAAATATGTGCAATACTTGTTTTCCTATCAGATCTAAACTTCTTTTACTGATTTAACAACATAAAATGCATCATTCATAAATTAGCTTATAAAGTTGTACTGTTTGGTATATTTATTGAATTTAAAGGTACAGTTATTTTATTTCTGCTAAGAACAGTTTCAAATATATCCAGGATACACATTATAACATATATACATAGGAATTGTCATTATCACGTGCTGTAGATAAAAATTTTCATACTACATATTTTGGGCAAAACCTTGTCTTGCATTTTGTTCATTCCAAGAGGGAAGAAAAATCCTAGGAGGTTTTTTTCTTTTCAGTGCTCTGCTCCCAAAAGATTAACCCAAAATTTCCGTCAGGGAAAACTGAGAAATAGTCTTCAGAGGCCTGTTGCTAGAATGCCCCCTGAACAACGGTTCCGTTTTGGGAGCGAGGGAGGCTCTCCGGGCCTCCAGAGGCAGCAGGGTCTTCCACCAGCCAGGGGGGAGCCACAGCTGTACTGCCCTTCTCCATTTGTGAGGCGGCATCTTCTTCCCTCCTTGGCCAAGGCAGCAGAGCCAGGCTGCTGGAGGCAGAGGCAGCTGGTGGCCTCCTTAGACAAGCAGCCAATGCTGCTGTGGCCGTTGGAGTGCGCAGGAGCCACCTGGCCTGGCTGCTCTGCTGGGTCAGCTCCCTGTCGCCCTCACCCGGAGGAAACGGAGGTGCCGTGCTGGAGGCTTGGGAGGAAATAGGTGTGGGGACTGTGCCTGTGCAGCCGTTGCACCTCCCCGCAGGGAGTGGCTGCCCTCTGGCTAGGTGGCAGGGGTGTGTGACTGTCCGGCTGGCCAACTTGCAAAGTGTGTGAGAGGCGAGGGACGGCACGGTCCTCAGGAGGCCTGAGCCGGGTGAAGGCAGAGGGTGGTTGGTGGGGAGGGGCGGGGGGAGACTGCCCTGCTCCAGCTGCTTGGTCAGGTTGGTGTGTGCTTGGGGGGGGTGCCCCTGTCCAGCTGTGGCGTATTTAAATCAGGTCCGTGAAGTCCAAATACTTTTTTCCCCCTCAGCTAGAATGTTGAGCAGGAGGGCACGGTCTCCCGTCTTTTTTACCTTGACTTGTCCTTGTGACAGCCAGAAGAGGGCGTCCCTTTTGTTCATTCTTGAATCTGTCTTGCAAATGACCTGGCTAAAGTCGGTCCCCACACCCCCAAAAGACCAGGAGCCGGCTTTTGCAAAGCCAGCCCCAAGAAGGGGATTTTTGTTTTCCCCATATGGGTAGAGGTTTATCGGCCTGTCTTTAAAGTGTTGCTGCGGAATGATAACTTTCTACCCAGCTATTGAGAGGGACAAGCAGACGGTAGGGAAACGTGTCTCTAGTGAAACGCCTTCGTTATTCCATACTGGGTGACAAGAAAATGTGGATGCGTTCCAGGCCTGAAGGTTGGCCTCCACTCCAAGGCTGAAGGGCTCTTGGTGCTTCCTTTTGGGGGTGGGGGGGGTGGGGGTCTGCCACTTTCCCTGAGACTTTCTGTTAGAACGAGCTGTAGAGTGTGCCCGGGAGAGAGGCCAGAAGTTGGTCTGATTTGATGACCCAAACGTTCCTTTTAACTCTCCGTTTTTCCTTTTCCCCAGAAGAGAAGCCTAAAGCAGATCCAGTATTAAAATCTCCTTCCCCTGCCCTCAGACCAGAACCTAGTGGAGAGAGAAAGGACCCAGCAGGCCTGGCAGCAGAGAGCCCTGCCTCCCCAGAGACCTCCCCAGAGCTTCCTCTGCCTGCTCTGCCCTCCTCAGTCGCAGTGCTTGCTGCCGCTGCACCCAGTAAACCTCCGTTTCCAACAGACTTTGGTGACCGATGTGAACTCGCTTCCCCCAAACTGGAAGCCCCCCTTCTTCCCAGTGCAGCACCCTGCGTGGAAACGCCCGCCGGTCCTCCAGCCGAGGAGAGCAGTGTGGAGATCTGCAGGGAGCCTCGGCGAGTGGTCCGGAGTGAGAGCCAAGGGGCTGCCAGTGCTCCTCTCATGAACGAACTCAATGGAGTCGGCGATCAGGTGACCGTGACTGATGGCCTGGTGGAGCAAGAGCCGCAGGAGGGAGTGCCCTCGGTGGCTGAGCCGGAGACCCCGGAAGCCGCTCAGGCTGAAGTGGAAGGGGCAGCGCCTTCAGCTTCCGTGGTTCTTTTGGCCACTCCATCTCCGCCTCCCACTCCTCCCCCCAGCCCTCCCCTCGCTGCTGCTGCTGCTGCGGTTGCCGTCACCACGACCAGTCCTCCTCCTCCTTCTCCTCCCCCTCCTCTCCCACTACCTGGTGCTCTCCCAGCTCTTCAGGGGGGTTTGGAAGGAGAGGAGATCACAAGAACTGTCCTCAGTGAAGATGTGCCAGAAGATCTGGGGGGAGAGGAGCCCGAGGCAGAGAGCCGTCCCGAGGAGAACGCCGAGTCTCACGAGGACCTGAATGCGAGGAAGGGCCACGGACCAGGTGAGTGGTCTTTGTGCCAGGCAGCAGCAGGGTGGGTTAGCGGCAGCCAGACCTGCCAGGAAATGGGTGTGTGTGGGTGACATCTGGTGGTTGTGGAGTTCTTGAGTGCTCATCTTTCCGGCAAGCACTAGGGCCTGTTCTGTGCCCACTCTATCAGACATTGCTCATCAACAAAAGCCAAAACAAGCCACTTACTTTGCAGCTCAAACTGCTACCTTCTAATCATGGCAAGGTTAATATTTGTTACAGCAAGACACTGATGAATATAACTTCCAGGACTTCACTTTATTTTGCTCAGTATCTCTGTGTGAATTCCATTTATCATCTGACAGAGAGAGCACTTCATCCCATTTTTTAAAATCTCCAGTTCTCTGTACTTCTGCAGTTTTGCCTGAAAGTGCACTCTCTCTTGCGTCTCTTAAAGTGAGGGGCCATAGTTCCGTGGAAGAGCCTCTGCCTTGCGTACAGGAGGTCCCTTTTCCAGTTCTCAGCGTTTCCAGTTCAAACGGTGCACTGGCGGGTGATAGGAATGCCCCTGGAAAGACTGTGACGCTGCCCTGGGTGGGCCAGGGGTCTGTCTTGGCCTGGGAGAACACTCATAAACAAAAAATTGCTGCATACGTGCACATAGTAAATAAATTACACAGAAGTAAATTAGTCTTGAATAATGATGATTTTCATGAAGAATTCTTTATGTTTTCAACAGGTGAACAGGTAGACAAGACAAACCTCTCGAGTGAAAGCTCGTTTCGGATAGTCTTTCTCAATGAGATGGTCTGCTCTATTGAAAATGTTATTGTGTAGCTATACAGCTGGGTGAAGAAGATTGCTTGATTCAAAGACTTTTATTGTCGGACTTGATACACTTGGATGTAATATTGGTACTCATTGAGAAAGACCATCCGAAACGAGCTTTCACTCGAGAGGTTCGTCTTGTCTACCTGTTCACCTGTTGAAAACATAAAGAATTCTTCATGAAAATCATCATTACTCAAGACTAATTTACTTCTGTGTAATTTATTTACTATGTGCACGTATGCAGCAATTTTTTGTTAATGAGTGTTACTATATTGCTGTTCCCATTGGTTTCTATTCTATTCTTGGCCTGGGAGAAGGCAGCTTCACGTGTTCACTGTCTGTAAGCAGATTTCGGGGCCTCCGTGCCTGCCTGGCGAGACTGTGGAGATGGGGGCATTGCTTTGCGTGGGAGTGGAGGGGGACTTGATATCGGTCTCGTTCGAAATGGCTTCCCCCAGTCCCTCGGAAGGGTTGTTGAGTGGCCATTACCCAGTCTGGCTTGTCCGTAGCATCCGCCACACGCTCTTGTATGTTGGAGATTCTGCTTTTCAGTCGATCATATTTTTGCTGTGGCCATTTCCGTGGTGGCTAAATAGAAGAGGGGAACTGTGTGGTGCACTGGAGTTCATAGGTGGTTTTTCATGAGCGGTGCTGGTGCAAAGGGATTGTGAGCTTCAGAGCCCAAATTCCTGCAGCTCTGTTTTCTATGATCATGTGGTCAAGGAGAGTCTTCAGTGAAGGAAACTGAGCTCCACCTGTGCCCACACACGTACCCGCCTTGATCTGTCAGCAAAGATTCTGTCAGACAGCTGCAGCTGGATCAAGGCCTCCCCCCCCCCCCCAAGAGCCGTTTGCTGATTTTTCCATGGGACCTAGTTAGGAGGTGGGGCTGGCTCCCCATTTGGTTGCCTGGCGAGGCCCAGTGACATCATAGGGAGGAGCCAGTGACATCACAGGCCATTGTCACTATGGAGGCGGAGCCTTGTGGGATTTAGGAAGGAGCTTATTGACTTTGACTCCAAATGATGCTTTTAAAACACTCTTAAGGACTGCCTTAGGCAAAGTACTGCATGAAGCCAAAAGGGCTTGCTGGGCGGGGAAGGGGCAAGACCAGTGTCCACTGCAGCAGAAAAGGCAGTGGGGCAGGCCAGAGAGAGAGGGCCCAGGGTAGAAGGAGGAGGATTGGATCTATACCCCGTGGCCCTTCACTACCCAAAGGAGTCTCAGAGTGGCTTACAAACTCCTTTCCCTTCCCCTCCCCACAACAGACACCCTGGGAGGCAGGCAGGGCTGAGAGAGCTCTGACAGGAACGGCTCTTTTTCAAGGACAGCTCTTATCAGAGCTACGGCTTGCCCAAGGTCACACCAGCAGGGGCAAGTGGAGGAGTGGGGAATCAAACCCGGTTCTCCCAGATTAGAGTCCGCGCACTTAACCACGACACCAAACTGGTGGAAGGAAGGTGGAGGAAGGTGCCGTTGGTATTTCCTGCTGCCAGGAGGAAGGTGCCCTTGATATTTCCTGCTGCCAAAGCTATGAGGATTTTCAGAGTCAAATGCAGCACTTTGAAGGTGGCCCAGGGAGGAGGTAAAGTGCAATGGAAGTGGCAGTCTGAATCAGCTGTGGCGTCTGAGCGTTTCCCCATTTAGAGGACGAGAGCCATAGTCTGGATTTCCCCAAGGCTTTAGCCAGCTCCTTTCTGAACCTAGGGAGGGGCACTTCCGGCCACTCATCTAGGAGCAGTGCTGGGGTGACCAAGGTTGGAACTCAGACAGTTTTTGATCCCTCTTGGAAACCTGAGGTCTGTCTGCAGGATTTTGCTGCCTGGATGAGCAGGCATTGGTGTACCTGGACATGGGCCTTTGAGACTGTATTTCCTTTACAAGTCATGCAAATAAGAGTAGTCCTCACCAGCTAAAACCCATGCCCATTAAAATAAAGACAAGTCCCAGCTATTGGGGCTTAATTTCAGGCTCTTAAAATCAGATCACTGGTCTGCAGTTCGTTCCATAGCCTGTCTCTGTCTGCAGGAGTCCCATCAGGATGTCTGTGTCGATGAAGTTGTGTGCCACAGGGGAAGAGCTGCAAACTGGCTGCAGGAGACATGCAAAATTTTCTGCAATTTTGGAAGCCACCTTTAAAACAAGAAAACAGAACTTTTTAGGGAAATAGCAATACATGCAATACTTTTGTATCAAATAAGGTGGATTTGATTTAAATCACATCGATTTACATCATGATTTAAACCACTAATCAGTAAGACTAGATTTAAATCATGGTTTTCTACATAAAGACCCATTCTTGCTGGTATAATCTTAATATTTACAACCAGATGAAGGTTTCATTCTTAGAATAATAACTTTTCAGATTAGTTTTACAATTATATAAAATATTACTGATTTGGAGGTGTGTGTGTTCCCAAACTGGGTGTCTTTCACGGCCTGCTTCCATTATAGGTTTTCTCCTCCAGGAAGAAAATAATATGATAAACCTCAGGCTATACACATAAAGATCGCAAGATTTGTGGAGTATTCTGCTCAAAAGGTTTCACTTTCATTTTTACTGCTTGCTCCTCCCTCCTCACATTTATCTCCTTGTGCCGATCTATTCCACTCCAAACAGTCTTCTATTCATTGAACTTCTTGAAACTTAGCGCTTAAGAGGTAAGGGGTTGATCCTGTGTACATAGATTTGCAGAGGAACAATGGGATTAAGGTCTTTTTCTCAACTCTGTATGTTTATTTTATAACATTTTTGCTGTGAAGATCTGCAGACTCAAATTCACAGTTTTGAGAACTGCAAAACCAAACATCTGTGATAATATATTCTAGATAGAAAAACAATCTTACAGAAACCTCTGGGAGAGCATAACAGTGTGAATGGATTAATGGAATTTATTTACCAAAAAATTTAAACATTGCATGAATATACAGCTTCATGCCACGTAATGAAAAACTAATCCTTTGGACTGTGTTGAATCTCCAAAGTCTCCAAATTAAATCCACGTTTAAAGGTTAAAGCAAAATTTATTCCAAAGCATTTGAAAGAAACAGGAACAGTAGAATTGTTAGGAATGGACACAGACCCCAGAGAGTAACATAATAAAGGAACTTTGAACCAAACTATAACCAATAGATCCCTTTCCCGCCGGCGCGAATAAGGAAGGCACTGACAGGTAATTGCATGGGAATGTAACGGTTTGCCTTTCTCAAAACAGGCTCTTGGTTCACAGGCAAAAGATACCACTAACAAGCGAGCAGATAACAGGGCTTCGTCTTCCCACTCCAGCTGGGTAACCTTGAGCTGTTACAGACACCTAAAAAACAAGAATGTGCAGAATACAACAGAAAAGGCAAAGGGGGAAGGGAACACACTCAGGGAACCAGAACTCTCAATGGCAGCTCGCTGACAGACTGTAATGTACCTTAAATAGAAAACTATCTTTAGATAGATTTTTCCTCAAAATGCAGTCTATTAAAAATCCAATTTAATTCAAAACCCCTATTTTTTAATTTAAAACAACAACAACATTGATTTTTATCCACGCTGGTATCAAACTACTTTTACTAGTTTAACAGTGTAAAATGCATTGTTGATAACTTAGCATATAAAGTTGAACTGTTTCTCTTTTCACAATTATATTTACCTTCATTTTTGATAAGAAAGATTGCAAGTATACCGAGTGCTGGAGAAATAGTTGCAAACTATGGCACCCTGCTCTGCTATTATAGCACATGGATCTTAATGCCTGGCATTTTGAGAGGTAGGAAGAACAGAAGTTAAAGGTAGAAGGTAGAAAAACAGTTCTGTAATAAACAGAAGAAAATGTAATATTTGGACAGAAACTCTCATGGTCACAGTAGGTAGGATTACCAGTGTATTTGGATAATAAGTTAACCTTTATAGGACTGAAGGTTACCGAGCTCTTTATTTTGGGGTTCTTGGGCCATCAGTGCTCTGTCAGCATGCACGGGGGCTCCCCTCGAGAGGCTTTCTGGTCTGCCTGTGTTGCCTCCCACTGCACAGGCCCCTTTGCTTTTGGTCTTGGCAGGCTACAAATGTTCTGAGTGGTCTGTGAATTCCCTGTCAGCCCTCAGTGTCCCTGGAGGCCATGAATTCTCTTGAACCTTGACAGGGCTGTATGTCATAGTCTTGTGCCATTGCATCATGGCATGGCAACGGGGCTCTTCCCCTTCATTGACTGCATCCAGAGCCTCTCTGCCAGTAAGCCCTCCCCTCCCTGATCGTTGGTGGGTTGCAGGGCCCACAGGAGGAGGACGCCTGAGTGGTTTTGTAGCCTGTCTGCTCTGGCAGAAGAATTGGCCCGATTGTTCTTGAACTTGGCAGTGAGTTGAGCTGCGGGAGAGGTGCGAAGAGGTATTGGTTTGCACTCTTAACTCTCACCCTTTCCAGTAATCCTGAAATTAAATGTAAAAGCTTCTTGGGCTAGTTTTGTTTTGATGGGTACATTTGGGTCCTTGTTCCATTTAGGAACTGTGCAAAAGGGAAACACACTTGTATGTGTGAGTCAACTCTGGCGGAGGAGCCATAGCCATGAAGTGGATGCAGTGTTTTATTTCTCCTTGAATTCCTTTATTTGAAGATGTACCATGGAAATGTGTAGTGTGTGTGTGTGTGGGGGGGTATCCTGGCCTATTTCCGCTTCAGTATAGGAGGCAAGGCATAGGGGTTAAAGGAGCCAGTTATATTGGGACAGACTTTTGCTGCTTGGAGCTGGTAAGACAACCAAGCTGTGAAGTGTCTTTTGTACAGGTTGGTGCCCCTGGTTTGTCTTGCTTGGAGGGCTGAAATTTGATGCTGTAGCCAAATACTTCAGTGCTACTGCTTCCTCCCCCAAGGGAATAACACGTACTTTGGATTTCTGACTCACTACAGCCCACCCAATACAAATATTAATTAGTTCAGCTATTACAGTAGCTTTCTGATTGGATCTGCTTATTTTGGTTTGACCTGCGCTCCTGTAAATTGCTTTTTATTTTAATCCTACTCTGACTAGCTGGAAGTGCTCCTCACCCACTCTTTGATTGAATCTAATACTCTTTTGATGGGCTGTTCAAAAAAACCTGTCTTATTTGGAACACACACACACACACACACCGTGGGTCTGTATTTTACAGCCTCTAGTATAGATGTGCCCTTCCTTGGATGGCCAGGCTAGTTCAGTCTCATCCGATCTTGGAAGCTAAGCAAGGTCTGCCCTGGTTGGTACTTGGAGGGGAGATTACCAAGGACGCCCAGGGTGGCTATGCAGAGGCAGGCCATGGCCAACCCCCTCTGAATGCCTCTTGCCTTCGAACCCTTACAGGGTCCCCACAAGTCAGCTGCGACTTGACGGCACTTTCAGGCACCAGTAGAAATGTGTCTGCCTAACAGATGGGCACTGTTGTGCGCCAGTCAAACTGAGCTCGGTCTCATGAAAGTGTATTATGTTGGAATAATAAACATTGTTAGTCTTCAAGGTAGTACTGAGCTCCTGTCTTATAAGGAGGATTTGCATCAGGATATGCACGCTTGGCATTTGGTGCCTCTGGTGTGGAGATCTAGAATGGCAACAGTAGGAGAGCTTCTAGTGTCCTCCTGGCCCCACTGCTGGATCTCCTGAATGGCACCTGGTGTTTTTGGCCACTGTGTGACAAGAGTGTTGGACTGGATGGGCCACTGGCCTGATCCAACATTGGCTTCTCTGATGTTCTTATGGTGTTATGAGCCAGGTGCTTTGATGGGAGCGGTGTGTGTGTGTGTCGTGCAGTTGCTGGATTGTGCAGCTCCCCTTTAGGTCTGCATTTACCCGTCCCTGACACACCTGTAAGTAGGCCTCTGTGTGGTATAGGTTGTACTGGCCTCCGGCAGATCTGGAAAAAATATTTTAGAGTATTCAGAGGTGGTGTAAAATGTTGGTATTTTTCCAGCTTTGGCTAGCATATGTGAAAGAGAGAGACTCACTTTCATATTGTAATCATACTGTAGTATTTGACTGTGGTATCAAAATCCACTGTGATCAGTGGGTATCTTCCTTGCCATGTATTTGCGAGTTCAGAGCCCACTGAATCTGTCACAGGACTTGAGATGACCAACTCCCCACCCCCACTCCTGAGCAGTGTTTGAATAGATAGCCTGGCCCTGTCAGTGCTTTACAGCTTTTTTTAAAAGCGTCCTGAAGGAGGAGCAAGCAGTTCTCCGGTATAGGCCACGGCCCTCTTCTCTCCTCTTCAGGCTGGGACATTTTCTCTTTTGACTGTGGACTTGGAGTGGATTCCAAAGGGAAGCCAAAGCTGCCCTGTTCCAAGTGGAGTTTTGATTTGGCAAGTAACGCTGTTAACTGTTTGTGTTGTAGCCCAACCAGCTGTAGCTGCACCAAAGACGTGGAAGAAACCAAAAGATCAGAGCCAAGCCGCCGAGGAGGTGGAGGCCGAGGCCGAGGTGAGGATCACGGGGAGCCCTCCCAAACTGTCCGCGGCAACCTGGTCCATAGAGCCAAAACTGTCCCAGGACCTCCCCTCTGTGTCTGTTTCCACCCAGTGTGGACATTTGCTGAGGGTGCTGCAGACCGTCTGGGGTTCTAGGAGGGCTCTGGAGCTGCTCTTCTCACCCAAGTGTGTGGAGTAGTAATGGGGCTGTCCTGTGATTCTTTGGCCTCTTGTAGAGACCAAATGCAGCACAGGCTGGCACGGTTCAGTGGACCCGGAAGTGTTTTCTGTCCTGCCTCTTTCATTCTTCAAAGCTTGATCTTGCTGAAGTTGGGTTGGGTTAACCGGACACTCCAGAGGAAGGATTAACGGTGGGCTTGCTTCACGCTCCAGGCTCAAGAGGAAGAGGAGCAGAGGAGTGACCGAAGGCTTGAAGAATCTGAGCCCGAGGCAATGAGTCATGAGAGAGACTCCCCCTTTGACCTTAAAATAGCAAAGGCCTTGGAAGAAAATGGGGAGCAGGAAGGGGGGGAGCCCATCCGCAATGGTGCTGAGAATGTCTTGGAGGGGGAAGGAGGTGACGGGCAAGCAGGCTGCCTCGAGAGTCCCAGCGAAGCCCCGGCCGGCCAGTATAAGCCAGGTGAGTCCCCACCCCTCTCCTCCTGTCCTGGTTTCAGAAAGCGAAGTTACTGTACGTTTTTGGTAAGTAAGGATGTGTGTGTGTGTGGGGGGGGTATTTACCTGAAATTGTAGAGTTTTGTGGTCCCATTTCTGTGCTAGACCTGATTGTTCAGGGTGCTGCCTGTGCAGTGAGGTACTCTTTGTTTTCCAAACTTTGGGAGAGGAAAGCAGAGCTCCGAGGTGCACTTTCTCAGCCTACCAGAAAAGTGCCCATGTGGACATTTGGTTTTTCTGATCATTCTCCTGTGTTCGCTTAAAAAGGATATTATAGCTTTGGAAAAAGTGCAGAAAAGGGCAAGTCGAATGATAAAAGGGTTGGAACACTTTCCCTATGAGGAAAGGTTAAAGCGCTTGGGGCTGTTTAGCTTGGAGAAACGACGACTGAGGGGTGACATGATTGAGGTTTATAAGATTATGCATGGGAAAGAGCAGGTAGAGAAAGAGGTACTTTTCTCCCTTTCTCACAATACAAGAACTCGTGGGCACTCCATGAAACTGCAGAGCGGTCGGGTTAGAACGGATAAAAGGAAGTACTTCTTCACCCAAAGAGTGATTAACACTTGGAATTCACTGCCACAGGAAGTGGAGGTGGCTACAAGCATGGACAGCTTCAAAAGGGAATTAGATAAGCATATGGAGCAGAAGTCCATCAGTGGCTATTAGCCACAAGGTATAGCTAGGGGCTCTGAGGCAAGTTTGCTCTGTCTTCTTGGTGCCTGGGCGGGGGGGGCAACAGTGAGAGGGCTTCTAATGTCCTGGCCCCACTGGTGGACCTCCTGATGGCACTGGTATTTCTGGCCACTGTGTGACACAGAGTGTTGGATGGGATGGGCCTTTGGCCTGATCCAACATTGACGTCTCTTATGTCCTTATGTTCTTATGTTCCTCCTGTGAACGGAGCTGGTTAAGCAGGCACTTGGGCTATGGGAGGCCCCTCTGAGAACCGGCCTGCCTGCTGGTCTGCAGCTGTGGGGCCTCTGCCTTCCAGTTTGGGCCTAGAGGTCTTCCTGCTCTGCTGCAAGCAAAAAACACCATCCCCAAAGCTCCATAGCCAGAGCCCCTTTGAGCAGCCAGAGTCCCCTTCTCCTTTATCAATACTTACTATGTGGTCACCTGAGTGGCAGTCCTGCATCCTCCAGATCTTGTGGGGTCTGTTCCCAGACCAGGCAAATGGAGTAGTGTGTTGTGGGGGATAAGTGAAGCACACCTCATGCGCTCTTCTCTGCCAGTTATGTGAGGGTGGGGTGAGATGTTTCCTTTGTAGAAAACAGAGTGTTCACAGTTGGTCTGCAAGGGAATCTTATGTTTACACTCTCTCACTTCAGGATCTTATTAGGAGTGTGCATTCAACTCTATCCGAGCTGAAAATACCTTATCAGTATTTATTGGCTATTCTTTCAGTCAGATACAGAAGGGGGTGGATTTTCAGCTATTGAGCACAGCCAATCCCAGAAAATCCTGAAAAAAATTCAGGCCTATGTCAATGATTATAGTCAATGATCCCCATAGGCTATAATGGGGAATCTGTCGGGGGGGCTTTTTTTTATAGGTAGAAGCACCAAATTTCCAGTATAGCTTCTGGTGCCTCTACTCAAAAGGCCCCCCCAAGTGTCAAAAAGATTGGCCTAGCGGTCCAATTCTATGGGCCCCCAAAGAAGGTGCCTCCATGGAGGGGAAAACAGCAAAAAAGCAGGGACTGATGTCAAACCATAGAGTCTCTGCAGTAGAAACGAACGGGTGTTGTTGTTGTTTTTGCAGAACCAGTGTCACTTTGGCAATGCTAGCTCAACAAATCCAAGCAAGGGGCAGGGGGTTTGCAGGCCTAGCACAGCCAGTTCATGTACAGAGTGCCCAGTAGAACCAGTGATGTACAAGGTGCCCAGCAGAACCAGTGCCACTGTGGCAATGCCAGCTTAGCAAATCCGGGGGGGGGGGGTGGGGTGTGCGCACAGTTACA